GCGAAGTGCCGGGGGTGCAGTGGCACAAAAGGATCCAAAAGTGGCAGGGGGAGATCAATTTGAAGTCTGACCAGAAGAAGATCTATGGCGGCTACTTCACCGAGAAGGCGGTGGCCGAGGCCAAGGCCTTGGAGCTCGTGGAGAAGGCCGGCCTGCAGCGCCGGGTAAAGCCCGTGGCCACCCTGGCAAACAGATATGCCGGACTGCCGGTGTTCCATCCCAAGGTGCCCTACCCTGGGGTCAGTTGGGAGCAGAGGTCACAGCAATGGCATGCATACTGCAGCGTTGGTGGTGCGCAGCGAGATTTCTACATCAGGCCCAAGGACCACTCGGAGGCGGAGCTGGAGCGTTCCTTCCAAGTTGCCGTGGCATGGAAGAAGAAGCAGGAGAAGGAGAAGGAGAAAGAAAGCAAGGCTGTGAAGTCCAAGGTGAAGCCTGGGAGGAACCAGCGAAAGTGAGTGCAAAAGGTGCATGGCTCAGTTTCTGAAGCCCCGCCCCGTACAGACAATCCTCACCTGACATGTTTGCAAAAAAAGCAAGAGAGCCTTTCTTCCCATTTGTTCGTTTGCAATCATACTGGGAAGATCCTGTTTTGCACACTTGAGCTCAAGTCCTATTCCTGCGGTTCGGAGATGGAATAGGCATAGGGATGGATAGGGATGGATAGGGATGGACAGGGATTGATAGGGATGGATAGGGATGGATAGGGATGGATAGGGATGGATAGGGATGGATAGGGATGGATAGGGATGGATAGGGAAATATACAAATCATGATGAACACACCATAGTGAGGCTGAAATTGATGATTGAATCAGAGAAATACCGTTATTCAACCACCATTTGTATCCATTGTAGGGATTAATATAGTCATCAGAAGGATTCCGCATCATGGTGAGATGACCATACCCCTTTTCTCTCCATGTAGCTTGACCATGGTACAGATGGCCGCCACAGGACGATACCTTCAAGGCCTGATGGCAATGCCTATGGAGACGAGCTCCTTGGGCCCAACGGTGGGGAAACTCGTGGGTTTTCTGGGACCTGTGAAGATAGAAACATCACCCAAAAACGAAGGTTTTTTTGAACAAATCCTGAGAAACATGCCTTTTTATATGGGAAAATCCATGGAAAATCTGCAGTGCCATAGGATATATATTCAACACATATGGCGGTATGGCTCAAGATTCTTGACACCCATTTCGGGATGTTCCATCAGAGTTAATCTAATCTTATCTTCCTGATATTAAAACCCTTCGAAACAACTTGAAACCTTGGTTTCATACGTGATCCCTTATTGTGAGACTTCACCAACTCAGATTGACATTTGAGAATTCGCATCCAGCCATCGCTGCAGGTTCCCAGACAACTTCTAACTCCTCCGTGCGCCTGCGAGGTGTGCTCGGTGATTTGATAGTTTTGCCGAGGGAAGAAACCCCTGGATTTGGAAAACTAGCCACCCACAAGAAGGACATCTTCTTCTTGTTGGCAAAATTCCATTGGTTTATAATCCTCATTGGTTGCTGGTTTCATCCCCAAACATTGATTTGTTGTTGGAAGGCTCCCCCAGCTACAAGTTGGTCTATAATCTCACCTACCACTATTGACCATAGACGCATCATGATACGTCATGATACATCCACTATAAATCCCACTTACCCTCCGGTAATCAAACTTGGCAATTGAGCATACCCCATTTACAATTGATTTTCTCAGCTATAAACCTCCATTTACTAATTTTGTTCGGGGATTTTCCATTTACCACAGGGTAGCCTTGTGAACTAAACCAAGGTTACCGTACCTGTCGTTTGGAGGCCCCACTCCCTGCTGAGGGAGGCAACTTCTTGATCGATGGCGATGAGATCTTGCAACAGCTGGAAGAAGACCCTGAGACGAGGCCAAGGGAGGAAGATTAGTAGTGATGGGGAAATGATTTAAATGGGGAGATATCTTACAAAAGGTGGAGATACTGGATGTATGTGGCTCAAACCATTTCGAATTTCATTGATCCCTTCCGTGGAAAAAAATATGCCAAAGAACCGATCTCTCTGGCAGTTGATTCTTTAGCCATCCTCAATCAGAAAAACAGCACTCGTCAGATTGATCGAAATTGTCATCTAGAACTTCTCATACTTCGCAGACTTAGACTAGCCACTTGATCATGCCTTTTACTTGTCATGTTTTGCCAGTTCCAGACATTTTTATCTATGCATGCCGGTGCAGTGGCGGGCCCCCAGTAGACAATGGGTTGAAACATGGTTGATGGAGATTTTAAGAATTCCTCTGGTGATAATTTTCGAAACTATCACTCAGTGGTTCTTTCGACTTTGCCGGCTTTCAGAGGACTGTGCCTACAAGCATGCTATCATTTGATTAATCCTAATTGTAGGTGATTAATAGTAATTCTTAATTGATTCTTCGTTTTATATCCCAAGATTGCTGCCATTATGAAAAAAATTCTTAGCATTCCTCACGCATCCCATGCTGATAGCCAATTTTTTTCCATTTGTTTTTTTCCAGTTGAGCTCAATAGCGGTCTGACCGCTATATCCAATAGAATACATTGCATCCCCGTTAGATTGTCCATTTTCCGATGATTGCATGTTACTTATATTCACATGGAGGGCCTTGGATACCATAAGGGGCATCACTGATCATCAACAGAAGTAGCTCCAACATTGAATGATTTACCGCTAGAGTGGGTCTGAAACAACACTTTTTTTCAATGGAAAAACATGCTGACCCCTTCATGGGTGAAGCATGACCCCAGTGGGTCTCAGATTTAAAACACGAGTCACTTCCCTTTCCACACCCAATGGCAGACCTGTGCGCGCGTGACGTTTGTGGAGAGCATTTGGGAGGCCCTGCAAGAGAAGGGCGCTTGCAACCTGGGAGGCAGGGAGTTGACGGACAAAAAGGGGTAAAATTTCAGCCGATTTTGGAGGAACATTTGAAACAACCTAATTTGGGTGGGTGGTAAAAAAAACTTCTTGGTAGATGAGATACCACATTTCTTGAACGAATCAACTGATGGAAGGAGCAGTGTAACCGTTGTTGGTGCCATGCCTAGTTTTGGATGGGTGGGCTCATTTCTTTTGGTTGGATTAATCCAACTTTTTGCTGGTTATTAGTTAAGTTATATTAAGTTATTATCATACTTAACTATCTCCAATTCTTCTTGGTTCGCCTCCAGGTATTGTCAGCTTACTCCCCATTTTTGTCGCTTGATCACTTAGACCTTTTCTTTTTTAGTTTCTAAATCATGTTTTGCTAATGAACATCGCAGTATCGTGATTTTTCTCAGTTCAATGCCACATGTTTGGATACTTTAGATACAGCAGATACAATAGATAGATTGGTTGATCCCCATTATTGCCATCAACAAATCCCGTCCAGTTGATCAATAAATCCATCAAAACCATGTAAAGCCCATACTTTCCTGGGAAACTAAATATTGCTGTACAACATCATCCATTTATACATGATTTACCATGATTTACCTATGAAAACTTCACGTTTTTCACGCGCGGCAGGCGGCATGGGCCTTGCCGCAGCGCCTCGCAGCTGGCGGCGGGCATCGCGAAGGAGATCCTGTGGCAGCTGGGGATGGAGATGATTCAAGCAGCAAATTTGGGATGATATATCATTAGTGGGAAACTATGGGGTAATTCTTTCTGGTCTAAGTACAAGTTAATTAATACTTGTTTATTAGAAGGATATATTATACACACAAACACACACATACATATATAAATATATATATTTATACATGTACAAAAGGGATATGACTCACCTAGTAGTTATGGAGGTCTTGTTCGATTTAAGAATCAAACACACGGACACGCGACCTCTTGACGGGGATGATGTGGATTCGCCACACAACAATGGGGATCAAGCACGTTGTATGCTGCCATTTGGGGCTCAATTTTCCAAGCACCCCAGGCGTCGCTCAAAAGCTGTTGGCCTGGGAACCTGAATCGTACCACGCCACGGCAAGAACTGACGGAATCACTTGAGGAATCATTTGCTGCCAAACACCAGCGCTCGACCCGCCAACACATGGTGCAAACCATGCAGACTGGGGGTCCAAGCTCAGCAAAGATTGAACTTGTTGATGGTGCGGATGCCAAGAAGGAGAAACGTGCTGAGCAGGAAGTCAAGTTTGAAAGCCAAAATAAGGAGAAGATGAAGATGGATAATCTTTGGCTGCAGGTGAAGGGCGAGATCAAGGAAGAGATAGAACAAGAGGAACAACAAGAACAAACCTGTAAGTCCTCAAGTTTGGATGATCTTACCCGCAAGGAGATCATGATGAAAGAAGAGATGGAAGAAGATCCCAAGCACGATGAAGCTTTTGAAATTTTAGAAAGCCAGTCCGACCACTCTGAAGTTACAACGCAGAAGAGAGAAACTGAGAAGAGCAACAAGGCTGTGAATAGTCAAACTGCAGCTGAGCCAGAGCCCAAGCTGGTTGCCAAGCGCCGGCGCCTGCCCCGGCCAGATATGCAGCAAACCATGCAAACCGGGGGTCCAAGCTCAGTAAAGATAGAACTTGCTGATGGTGTGAAGGTCAAGAAGGAGAAACATGCTGAGCAGGAAATCGGTTTTCAAAGACAAGATAAAGAGAAGATGGAGCTGGATGATCTTTGGCTCACGGTTCACAAGAAAGTCAAGCTGCCATTTGCAGCTGCAAACTCCGCAGCAGGACATGATCCAAAACCACCGGAAAGCGAGTCAGGCACTAGCCAAGTGCAGACATCTACACAGCAACAGCTGGAACCAAGTGCATCGAAAGCAGACGAGGACTGTTTTTGGGTATGACAAATGCGTTTGGACTGCTCTGGTAGAATCAGCATCCAAAATGTAATTGAAATGTTTGGCGTTGCAAACTTTCTTTGACACAAGCATAGCAGTACTGATGCAAAGGGAGACAGCTGTAGCGTTTCATGTTTTCTTCCCTGCAGTTTGCCTTTCTCAAATCAACTGCACATTTCTGCCCAGGATTCGGCCAATCCCGAAGAGAGCTCCTTGGATGCATTCGCTTCCCACGCAGCGACCTGGGCGAAGCAGTGCTTGGCTTTTCGGAGTTCCAAGACTTGGAGTCCCACCAGGCCGTGTTGTCATGTTGCCGTGTCTCAACATCAAGAACCAACCGGGGCTGTCGGTAGTGAAATGATCTGCCTGTCAAATCCTGATCCCTTCAGTCGAACAATCCTTGAGCTGATCAGCTTGGCAGAGACCCAAGAATATAGTTTCATATCTAATTGTGGATCATTTTTTAACCATTCGAGCCCTACTATGCAACGCGGCAATGCCTTTGTTAATGCCTTTGTTTGACTGGCAGCCTGCAGTTTAGATTTCTTCTGCCCGATTTGAATTTCAGCCTAGGCCTGTTGGATGAACCCAGTTTAAAGATGTTTAAAGCTTTGGAGCAGCAGAGACATGGTGGTGTGAAAGCCGGTAGATTTCATCTAGAACCAAGTCTCCCTGCAGCAACGGACGAATGCAGGCCTTGTTGCCCTGCAAATGTCTTCTTGGGCTCTGCAAACGGAACACCATCTCCGCCACCGGCAGATGCACCAGCATGCGTGCTGCGTCTCACTGGACATGGCTTGCGGTGCTTGCAGCGCTTTCACGAAAAGCAGGGCTTGCACAGCATGACGTTCCAGAGTCAGGAGGGATGTTGTTTGCTGAACTTCTGCACTGTCTGCATGGTATGAGGTTTACGTTGTTTTGATACACACTCACGACGCTTTGGATTCAAATAGTTGCTTCTTGTAAATCAAACAGGGTTGAGACAACAGTTGAGGGAGAGCAGGCAGGTGAGTTCAATCAGTTGCTGCATATGTCACTGTCATATGTTTTTCAAACCCTTCCCTGCAGGCAGAGGCATCTCAGACGCCCCGGAACATGTCGCCACAAGAGCCCCCACTAGATTGCGACTTGAGCATGCAGGACCGACTCTCTCTACACTGCACAATTTGTCGTTGAATATGTTTTTGCAGAGATGTGATGCATCATGGTGTGCATAGGAGGATTTTTACCAACTAACAACGCAACTAGTCTTACCACCAGATTTTCCGATCTTCAACTTCCTTTTTGCCACTTCAATGTTATGTTGATCTAGAACGATTAGAATGTAGCACAACCAGGTGAGGCCTGCATTTTCCTAGAGAGCTACCCTTTGCTCTGTGCTGCCAGCATCAGGACTACAAGGTCCGCGGCCTGGATTGCATGAAGATGTGGCCTTGGATGAGGGATCTGCCCACTTCTGTTTGGGCTGGTCATGGTTGGGCTTTTGATGAGAACGGGCTCCGACGGCTCTCATCCTCAGGCGGCAGCCATGCCATGCAAGGCGTGGAAGTCTTCGAATCTGTAGGTCTTGCAGCAGAGGAGGTGAAACCTTCAGACGAAAAGATCAAAGAAGAAGCCCCAATCGCAGTGGCCGCTGCAGAGAATCCACCACCAACTTGTGAGGAGCAGAAGCCAGCTCGGTTCATGAAAAAAAACTTGGCGAAGCAAAGCGGCATTCCAAACATCCGCTGGAACATCCTTTGTGCCTGGGAAGTCAAATTTCCCAAAGTTGATTCAAAAGGAAAACGGAGCGGGTGGACAAATCGAAAGTTTTCAGTGAAAAAGTTCATGGGCCCAGGCATCTCCGAGGCCCAGGCCGACGCAGCAGCTCTCGAGGCCGCCAAGGCCTTCCGTGCAGAGTTGGTGGAGAAGGGCATCCTCAGCGAGCCGAAGCCGCTGGACCCAAACTTCACCAGCGAAGTGCCGGGGGTGCAGTGGCACAAAAGGATCCAAAAGTGGCAGGTGGAGATCAATTTGAAGTCTGACCAGAAGAAGATCTATGGCGGCTACTTCACCGAGAAGGCGGTGGCCGAGGCCAAGGCCTTGGAGCTCGTGGAGAAGGCCGGCCTGCAGCGCCAGGTGAAGCCCGTGGCCACTCTGTCGGAGCTGCCGGTGTTCCACCCCAAGGTGCCGTACGCAGGGGTGATTTGGAGCCAGGCTGAGCAGCAGTGGCATGCAAAATGCAATGTTGGCGGTGCTCAGCAAAATTTCAGGGTGAGGCCCAAGGACCACTCGGAGGCGGAGCTGGAGCGTTCCTTCCAAGTTGCCGTGGCATGGAAGAAGAAGCAGGAGAAGGAGAAGGAGAAAGAAAGCAAGGCTGTGAAGTCCAAGGTGAAGCCTGGGAGGAACCAGCGAAAGTGAGTGCAAAAGGTGCATGGCTCAGTTTCTGAAGCCCCGCCCCGTACAGACAATCCTCACCTGACATGTTTGCAAAAAAAGCAAGAGAGCCTTTCTTCCCATTTGTTCGTTTGCAATCACACTGGGAAGATCCTGTTCTGCACACTTGAGCTCAAGTCCTATTCCTGCGGTTCGGGGATGGAATAGGCATAGGGATGGATAGGGATGGATAGGGATGGATAGGGATGGATAGGGATGGATAGGGATGGATAGGGAAATATACAAATCATGATGAACACATCCATAGTGAGGCTGAAATTGATGATTGAATCAGAGAAATACCGTTATTCAACCACCATTTGTATCAATTTGTAGGGATTAATACAGTCATGATGAGATGACCATACCCCTTTCTTCCATGACCATGGTACAGATGGCCGCCACAGGACGATACCTTCGAGGCCTGATGGCAATGCCTATGGAGATGAGCTCCTTGGGCCCAACGCCGGGGAAACTCGTGGGTTTTCTGGGACCTGTGAAGATAGAAGAATCCGCCAAAAACGAAGGTTTTTATGAACAAATCCATAGAACATGTCTTTTGAATGGGAAAATCCATAGAACATCTGCAGTGCCATAGGATATATATTCAACACATATGGCGGTATGGCTCAAGATTCTTGACCTATTTCGGGATGGTTACATCTGGCAGATGACCAATTTCTCGGGCGTCCGCTTGGGGCTCCCACACTGGAAATTCACCACGGAAAACACCAACAGAATTGGGCCAAGCTTGGTGTGGATAACAATCCTGTACCCTTACAAGAATAGGAGAGTCAATACCAACATGCTACAAATGACACGACGTTCTGGTTTTGAGAGCTTAAAGACTTGACCCATATCTAAAATTACCCCCCCCGAAACGAAACCTTGGTATTTCATACTGGATCAATTCATGAATTGGGGTCCGCTTTTGTCAGAGAACTCACCAGCTCAGATTGACGTTTGAGAACTCGCATCCAGCCATCACTGCAGGTTCACAGACAACTTCTTACTCCTCCGCGCGCCTGCGAGGTGTGCCCAGCGATTCGATGATCTTGTTGAGGGAAGAAACCCCTGGATTTGGAAAACCAGCCACCTTCTAAGAAGGACATCTTCTTGTTGGCAAAATTTCCATTGGTTTATAATCCTCATTGGTTGCTGGTTTCATCCCCAAACATGGTTTGTTGTTGGAAGGCCCCCCCAGCTACATCCAGCTACAAGTTGGTCTATAGTCCCACCTACCACTATTGAGTATTGATTATAGATACCTTCATGATAAACCCAGTTACCCTCCAGTAATCAAACGGGGCAATTGAACATACCCCATTTACAATTGATTTTCTCAGCTATAAACCTCCGTTTACTAATTTAGTTCGGGGATTTCAAAAACTAGCCACCCACAAGAAGGACATCTTCGTCTTGTTGGCAAAATTCCATTGGTTTAGAATCGGAAGTGGTTGCTGGTTTCATCCCCAAACATTGGGTTACCATGGGAAGGCTCCCCCAGCTACAAGTTTGTCTATAATCTCACCTACCACTATTGACCATAGAGACATCATGATACGTCATGATACATCCACTATAAATCCCAGTTACCCTGCGGTAATCAAACATGGCACTTGAACATCCCCCATTTATAATTTATTTTCCCAGCTATACACCTCTATTTAGTTCGGGATTTTCCATTTGCCAGCGGGCGAATTTGTGAAGTAAACCCACGTTACCTGTCGTTTGGAGGCCCCACTTCCTGATGGCGATGAGATCTTGCGACAGCTGGAAGAAGATCCTGAGACGAGGCGGCGCGTCGATGTCAATGTCGAGCAAGGGAGGAGATACTGGATGTATGTGGCTCAAATAAATTCGAATCATTTGATTTGATGCCTTAGGTGGAAAAAAATATAGCAAAGAACCGATCTCTCTGGCTATTCTTGGACCATTCCCAATTAGAAAAACAGCATTCATCAGATGGATCGAAATTGTCATCTAGATCTTCTCACAATTCGCACCGTTGGACTATCCACTTGATTATCTCCCAACACCTGTGCAGTGGTGGGCCGCCAGTAGACAAGGAGTTGTAACATGGTTGTTTAAGAATTCCGATGACAAATCTCGAACCTATCACTTGGTGGACTTTTTGACTTTGCCGGCTCTCAGAGGACTGTGCCTACAAGCATGCTATCAATGGATTACTACTATATAATCATATGTGATTGAGATCATTACGTAGTAATTCTTAGTTGATTCTTCATGTTATATCCCAAGATTACCGTCCTTATTAATTTCATTCTATTCTTAGCATTCCCCCCGCATCCCATGCCGATCCCCCATTTTTTCCAATTGGTTTTTGTCCAGTTGAACCCGTAGACAGACTATATACCAGTTGATGGCATGTTACTTATATTCACATGAAGGGCCTTGGATACCATAAAGGGCATCACTAATCATCAACAGAAGTAGCTTCAACATTGAATGATTCACCGCTAGAGTGGTTCAGAAACAAAATTTTTTCAATGGAAAAACATGCTGACCCCTTCATAGGTGAAGCATGACCCCAGTGGGTCTCGGTTTTAAACCACGAGTCACTTCTCTTTCCACACCCAATGGCAGACCTGTGCGCGCGTGACGTTTGTGGAGAGCATCTGGGAAACCCTGCAAGGGAAGGGCGCTTGCAACCTGGGAGGCAGGGAGTTGACGGACAAAAAGTGGTGAATTTTCATCCGATTTTAGTGGGAGATCTGAAACAACCTAGTTTGGGTGGGTGGTTAAAAAAAGCTTCTTGGTAGATGAGATACCACTTTCCTGAACAAATCAACTGATGGAAGGAACAGTGTCACTGTTGTTGGTGCCATGGATTGGTTGATCCCCATTATTTCCATCAATAAACCCCATCCAGTTGATCAATAAATCCATTAACACCATGTAAAGCCCTTACTTTCCTGGGAAACTAAATATTGCTGTACAACATCATCCATTTATAAATGATTTACCATGATTTACCTATGAAAACTTCACGTTTTTCACGCGCAGCAGGCGCCATGGGCCTTGCCGCGGCACCGAAGGCAGCTGGCGGGGGGCATCGCGAAGGAGATCCTGTGGCATTTGGGGATGGAGATGATTCAACCGGCAAATTTGGGATGATATATTATTGGTGGGAAACTATGGGGTAATCATTAGATGGGGATGGGGAGGTTTTTTCTTTTTCTGGCCTAAGTACAAGTTAATTAATACTTGTTTATTAGAAGGATATATTACACACACAAACACACACACACATATATATATATATATATACGTATATATAAATACATATACATTAAAAAAAGGGATATGACTCACCTAGTAGTTGTGGAGGTCTTGTTCGATTTAAGAATCAAACACACGTGATTTCTTGACGGGGATGATGTGGATTCGCCACACAACAATGGGGATCAAGCACGTTGTATGCTGCCATTTGGGGCTCAATTTTCCAAGCACCCCAGGCGTCGCTCAAAAGCTGTTGGCCTGGGAACGTGAATCGTACCACGCCACGGCAAGAACTGATGGAATCACTTGAGGAATCATCTGCTGCCAAACACCAGCGCTTGACCCGCCGAGATATGCAGCAAACCATGCAGACTGGGGGTCCAAGCTCAGCAAAGATAGAACTTGCTGATGGTGTGGATGCCAAGAACGAGAAATGTGCTGAGCAGGAAGTCAAGTTTGAAAGCCAAGATAAGGAGAAGATGGAGATGGATAATCTTTGGCTGCAGGTGAAGGGCGAGATCAAGGAAGAGATAGAACAGGAGCAAACCTGCAAGTCCTCAAGTTTGGATGATCTTACCCGCAAGGAGATCGTGATGAAAGAAGAGATGGAAGAAGAGCCCAAGCACGGTGAAGCTTTTGAAAGCTTACAAAGCCAGTCCGACCACTCTGAAGTTGCAACGCAGGAGAGGGACATTGAGAAGAGCAACAGGGCTGCGAATAGTCAAACTGCAGCTGAACCAGAGCCCAAGCCGGTTGCCAAGCGCCGGCGCCTGACCCGCCGAGATGTGCAGCAAAACATGCAGACCACGGGTCCAAGCTCAGTAAAGATAGAACTTGCTGATGGTGTGAAGGTCAAGAAGGAGAAAAGTGCTGAGCAGGAAATCAGTTTTGAAAGGCAGCATAAAGAGAAGATGGAGCTGGATGATCTTTGGCTCAAGGGTCACAAGAAAGTCAATGAGCAGTCATTGATGACATTTGCAGCTGCAAACGCCGCCGCAGAACATGCTCTGAAAACACAGGAAAGCGAGTCAGGCACTAGCCAAGTGCAGACGGCTGCCCAGCAACAGCTGGAACCACGTGCATGTGGCATGGAAGATGCTTCAAAATCAAAAGCAGACGAGGACTGTTTTTGGGTATGAGAAATGCGCATGGATTGCTCTGGTAGAATCAGCATACAGAATGGAATTGGATCATTTGGTGTTGTCATACTTTCTTTGACACAAGCATAGCAGTACTGATGAAAAGGGTGAAGAGACAGCTGTAGCATTTCATGTTTTCTTCTCTTCAGTTTGCCTTCCCTAAATCAACTACATACCTGTGCAGGACTTGGCCAATCCTGAAGAGAGCTCCTTGGATGCATTCGCTTCACACGCAGCGAGCTGGGCGAAGCAGTGCTTGGCTTTTCGGAGTTCCAAGACTTGGAGTCCCACCAGGCTGTGTTGTCGTGACACTTATTCTTAGGCTCAGCATGAAGAACCAACCAGGGCTGTCGGTAGTGAAATGATCTGCCAGTCAAATCCTGATCCCTTCAGTCGAACAATCCTTGAGCTGATAAAGTTGGCAAGAGACCCAAGAATATAGTTTCATATCTAACTGTGGATCATATTCTAATCATTCGATCCCTACTATGCAACGCGGCAATGCCTTTGTTTGACTGGCAGCCTGCAGTTTAGATTTCTTCTGCCCGATTTAAATTTCAGCCTAGGCCTGTTGGGTGAATCCAGTTTCAAGCTTTAGAGTAGCAGAAACATGGCGGTGTGAAAGACGGTAGATTTCATCTAGAACCAAACCTTGCTGCGGCAACCCCCGGCGAATGCAGGCCTTGTTGCCCTGCAAACGTCTTCTTGGGATTGGCAAATGGAACACCATCTCCGCCACCGGCAGATGCACCAGCATGCGTGCTGCGTCTCACTGGACATGGCTTGCGGTGCTTGCAGCGCTTTCACGAAAAGCAGGGCTTGCACAGCATGACGTTCCAGAGTCAGGAGGGATGTTGTTTGCTGAACTTCTGCACTGTCTGCATGGTAGGAGGTTTACGTTGTTTTGATACACGCTCACTACGCTTTGGATTCAAATAGTTGCTTTTTGTAAATCAAACAGGGTTGAGACAACAGTTGAGAGAGAGAAGGCAGGTGGCTTCAATCAGTTGCTGCATATGTCATATGTTTTTCAGACCCGTTCCTGCAGGCAGAGGCATCTCAGACGCCCCGGGACATGTTGCCACAAGAGCCCCCACTAGATTGCAACTTGAACATGCAGGACCGACTCTCCCTACACTGCACAATTTGTCGTTGAATATGTTTTTGCAGAGATGTGATGCATCATGGTGTGGATAGGAGGATTGTTACCAACTAACAACCCAACTAGTCTTACCACCAGATTTTCCGATCTTCAACTTCATTTTGTCACTTCAATGTTATGTTGATCTAGAACGATTAGTATGTAGCACAACCAGGTGAGGCCTGCATTTTCCTAGAGAGCCACGCTTTGTTCTGTGCTGTCAGCATCAGGACTACAAGGTCCGCGGCCTGGATTGCATGAAGATGTGGCCTTGGATGAGGGATCTGCCCACTTCTGTTTGGGCTGGTCATGGTTGGGCTTTTGATGAGAACGGTCTCCGGCGGCTCTCATCCTCAGGCGGCAGCCATGCCATGCAAGGCGTGGAAGTCTTCGAATCTGTGGGGGCAGCTGCAGAGGAAGTGAAACCTTCAGACGAAAGGATCAAAGAAGCCCGAGCTGCAGTTGCAGCTGCGGAGCGTCCTCCCCCACCTGCCGAGGGGCAGAAACCCGCTCATTTTAAGAGAATCTATGTGGAGAAGCAAAGTGGGGTGCCGAATGTTTTGTGGGACAGGACGCTGATGGCATGGTCAGTAAAGGTTCCCAGACTGGATTCAAACGGAAAACGCATCGGCAGGTCCAATCGAGTCTTTTCCGTGAAAAAGTTCATTGGCCCTGGCATCTCCGAGGCCCAGGCCGACGCAGCAGCTCTCGAGGCCGCCAAGGCCTTCCGTGCAGAGTTGGTGGAGAAGGGCATCCTCAGGGAGCCGAAGCCCCGGGACCCCAACTTCACCAGCGAAGTGCCGGGGGTGAAGTGGTACAAGATTCACCAAAAGTGGCGGGTCCGTATTTGCCCAGGGGGCGGCAAGAAAATTATTTCTGGCGGCTACTTCACCGAGAAGGCGGCGGCCGAGGCGAAGGCCCTGTTGCTCATGGAGAAGGCCGGCCTGCAGCGCCAGGTAAAGCCCGTGGCCACTCTGCCGGAGCTGCCGGTGTTCCACCCCAAGGTGCCGTACGCAGGGGTGAATTGGAGCCAGGCTGAGCAGCAGTGGCATGCAAAATGCAATGTTGGCGGTGCTCAGCGAAATTTCAGGGTGAGGCCACAGGACCACTCGGAGGCGGAGCTGGAGCGCTCCTTCCAAGTCGCTGTGGCGTGGAAGAAGAAGCAGGAGAAGGAGAATCAGAAGGAGAAGGAGAAAGAAAGCAAGGCTGTGAAGTCCAAGGTGAAGCCTGGGAGAAACCAGCGAAAGTGAGTGCAAAAGCCACGGATGCCAAGATACATGGCTCAGTTTCTGACGCTGTGTCCCGTACAGACAATCCTCACTTCACATGATGCGCAGGAAGAAATCAAGAGTGCCTTTCTTCCCATCCATTCATTTGCAATCACAGTGGGAAGATACTGTTTTGCACACTTGCGCTGAAGTCCTAAACCTGCGGTTCGGGGATGGAATAGGCATAGGAATGGATAGGGATGGATAGGGATGGATAGGGATGGATAGGGATGGATAGGGACATATACAAATCATGATGAGCACATCCAAAGTGAGGCTGAAATTGATGATTGAATCAGAGAAATTATCTTATTTAACCACCGTTTGTAACTTGTATCCATTTGCAGGGATTAATACAGTCATCAGAAGGATTCCCCATCATGGTGAGATGGCCATACCCCTTTTCTCTCCATGTAGCTTGACCATGGTACGGATGGCCGCCACAGGACGATACCTTCGAGGCCTGATGGCAATGCCTATGGAGATGCTCCTTGGGCCCAATGGTGGGGAAACTCGTGGGTTTTCTGGGACCTGTGAAGATAGAAGAATCCGCAAAAAACGAAGGTTTTTGTGAACAAATCCATAGAACATGTCTTTTGAATGGGAAAATCCATAGAACATCTGCAGTGCCATAGGATATATATTCAACACATATGGCGGTATGGCTCAAGATTCTTGACACCCATGTCGGGATGGTTCCATCTGGCAGAGTTTCCCAATTTCGGGCGTCCAGTTGGGGCTCCCACACTGGAAATTCACCACGGAAAACATCAAAAGAATTGGACCAAACTTGATATTTTAGGTGTGGACAACAATCTTGTACCCCTACAAGAATACGAGAGTCAATGCCAAGATGCTACAATATGATACGACATTCTGATTTTGAGAGTCTTAAAAACTTGACCCATATCTAATCCCATGTTCCTAATGTTAAAACCCCTCGAAAGGAAAGTTGAAACCCTGTTTTCATACTGGATCGCAGACCTCATCAACCTCCCTTATGGTGAGTATTCTATACATGCCCCCCATGGAAACCCTGGCTTCGTACAGAATCTATTTATGAACCGTCATCTCTTATTGCGCATATTTGTCATGAGCGGAAGGAATTGCCAAGGGATTACCCTCTAGTAATCAAGAGTGGAAATGGAGAATCCCCATCAATAGATGATTCTCCCATTTGGGGGTTTCCTAAAATGGGGGAGCCCCAAAACCATGGGTTTTAATACACAAATTGCTAATTTTGGATGATTTGGGGTAATTCCTCACATTTTAGGAAACTTCCATTTAAATACCCATTTGTAAGGGATTTCCCAGCCAGCCATGTTTGATGATACTAGAGGGTATACGTCAGCAACCTGGATTGACATTTGAGAATTCGCATCCAGCCATCACTGCAGGTTCCCAGACAACTTCTTACTCCTCCGCGCGCCTGCGAGGTGTGCCCGGCGATTCGATGATCTTGTTGAGGGAAGAAACCCCTGGATTTGGAAAACCAACCACCTTCTAAGAAGGACATCTTCTTGTTGGCAAAATTTCCATTGGTTTATAATCCTCATTGGTTGCTGGTTTCATCCCCAAACATGGTTTGTTGTTGGAAGGCCCCCCCAGCTACATCCAGCTACAAGTTGGTCTATAGTCCCACCTACCACTATTGAGTATTGATTATAGATACCTTCATGATAAACCCAGTTACCCTCCAGTAATCAAACGGGGCAATTGAACATACCCCATTTACAATTGATTTTCTCAGCTATAAACCTCCGTTTGCTAATTTAGTTCGGGGATTTTCTATTTACCACAGGATAACCTTGTGAACTAAACCAAGGTTGCCGTACCTGTCGTTTGGAGGCCCCACTCCCTGCTGAGGGAGGCAACTTCTTGATCGATGGTGATGAGATCTTGCGACAGCTGGAAGAAGACCCTGAGACGAGGCCAAGGGAGGATGGCACGGTGTGGATCGGTCAAATGCCAGTAGTAGTGATGGGGAAATGATTTAAATGGGGAGATATCTTACAAAAGGTGGAGATACTGGATGTATGTGGCTCAAACAAATTCGAATAATTTCATTTGATCCCTTCTGTGGAAAAAATATGCCAAAGAGCCGATCTCTCTGGCAGTTGATTCTTTAGCCATCCTCAATCAGAAAAACAGCACTCGTCAGATTGATCGAAATTGTCATCTAGAACTTCTCACACTTCGCAGACTTGGACTAGCCACTTGATCATGCCTTTTACTTGTCATGTTTTGCCAGTTCCAGACATTTTTATCTATTCATGCCGGTGCAGTGGCGGGCCCCCAGTAGACAAGGGGTTGAAACATGGTTGATGGAGATTTTAAGAATTCCTCTGGTGATCATTTTCGAAACTATCACTCAGTGGTTCTTTTCGACTTTGCCGGCTTTCAGAGGACTGTGCCTACAAGCATGCTATCATTTGATTACTCCTAACTGTAGGTGATTAGTAGTAATTCTTAATTGATTCTTCATTTTATATCCCAAGATTGCTGCCATTATGAAAAAAATATTCTTAGCATTCCTCACGCATCCCATGCTGATAGCCAATTTTTTTCCATTTGTGTTTTGTCCAGTTGAGCTCAATAGACCGCTATATCCCATAGAATACATTGCATCCCCGTTAGATTCTCCATTTACCGATGATTGCATGTTACTTATATTCACATGGAGGGCCTTGGATACCATAAGGGGCATCACTGATCATCAACAGAAGTAGCTCCAACATTGAATGATTTACCGCTAGAGTGGGTCTGAAACAACACTTTTTTCAATGGAAAAACATGCTGACCCCTTCATAGGTGAAGCATGACCCCAGTGGGTCTCAGATTTAAAACACGAGTCACTTCCCTTTCCACACCCAATGGCAGACCTGTGCGCGCGTGACGTTTGTGGAGAGCATCTGGGAAGCCCTGAGAAGGGCGCTTGCAACCTGGGAGGCAGGGAGTTGACGGACAAAGGGGTAAAAATTCAGCCGATTTTAGGGGAACATTTGAAACAACCTAGTTTGGGTGGGTGGTTAAAAAATAGTTTCTTGGTAGATGAGATACCACATTTCCTGAACAAATCAGCTGATGGAAGCGACAGTGTCACCGTTGTTGGTGCCATGCCTGGTTTTGGATGGGTGGGCTCATTTCTTTTGGTTGGATTATCCAACTTTTTGTTGGTTATTAGTTAAGTTATATTAAGTTATTAACATACTTAACTTTCTCCAATTCTTCTTGGTTCGCCTCCAGGTATTGTCAGTTTACTCCCCGCTTTTGTTGCTTGGTCACTTAGACCTTTTCTTATTTAGTGTCTAAATCATGTTTTGCTAATGAACATCGCAGTATCTTGATTTTTCTCAGTTCAATGCCACATGTTTGGATACTTTAGATACAGCAGATATAGATAGATTGGTTAATCCCCATTATTTCCATCAACAAATCCCATCCAGTTGATCAATTCATCCATTAAAACCATGGAAAACCCAAACTTTCCTGGGAAACTAAATATTGCTGTACAACATCATCCATTTATAAATGATTTACCAGGATTTACCCATGAAAACATGCTGATTCACCATGATTCTGCATAACGATGTTAGTTGCCCAGAGGGATCCAGGCCACGCTTTTCACGTTTTTCACGCGCAGCAGGCGGCACGGGCCTTGCCCTGGCGCCGAAGGCAGCTGGCGGTGGCGGAGGAGATCCTGTGGCAGCTAGTGATGGGAGATTTTTTGGTCTAAGTACAGGTTAATCCGTGACTAGAAGAATATATTACATGTGTACATAAATATACATAAAGGGGATTTGACCTGGTAGTTTTGGAGGTCTTATTGGATTTAAGATGATTCAAGAGTCAAACACACGTGATTTCTTGACGGGGATGATGTGGATTTGCCACACAACAATGGGGATCAAGCACATTGTATGCTGCCCTTTGGGGCTCAATTTTCCAAGCACCCCAGGCGTCGCTCAAAGGCTGTTGGCCTGGGAACCTGAATCGTACCGCGCCACGGCAAGAACTGATGGAATCACTTGAGGAATCAACTGCTGCCAAACACCAGCGCTTGACCCGCCGAGATATGCAGCAAACCATGCAGACTGGGTGTCCAAGCTCAGCAAAGATAGAACTTGCTGATGGTGTGGATGCCAAGAAGGAGAAATGTGCTGAGCAGGAAGTCAAGTTTGAAAGCCAAGATAAGGAGAAGATGGAGATGGATAATCTTTGGCTGCAGGTGAAGGGCGAGATCAAGGAAGAGATAGAACAGGAGCAAACCTGCAAGTCCTCAAGTTTGGATGATCTTACCCCCGAGGAGATCATGATGAAAGAGGAGATGGAAGAAGATCCCAAGCACGATGAAGCTTTTGAAAGCTTAAAATCCCAGTCTGACCACTCTGAAGTTGCAACGCAGGAGAGGGAAATTGAGAAGAGCAACAAGGCTGCGAATAGTCAAACTGCAGCTGAGCCAGAGCCCAAGCCGGTTGCCAAGCGCCGGCGCCTGACCCGCCGAGATATGCAGCAACCCATGCAGACCGGGGGTCCAAGCTCAGTAAAGATAGAACTTGCTGATGGTGTGAAGGTCAAGAAGGAGAAAAATGCTGAGCAGGAAATCGGTTTTGAAAGACAGGATAAAGAGAAGATGGAGCTGGATGATCTTTGGCTCAAGGTTCACAAGAAAGCCAAGCTGCCATTTGCAGCTGCAAACTCCGCCGCAGCACATGCTCCAAAACCACCTGAAAGCGAGTCAGGCACTGGCCAAGTGCAGACATCTACCCAGCAACAGCTGGAACCAAGTGCATTTGGCATGGAAGATGCTTCAAGATCGAAAGCAGACGAGGACTGTTTTGGGGTATATGAAATGCGCCTGGATTGCTCTGGTAGAATCAGTATCCGAAACGGAATTAGAATGTTTGGCACTGTCATGGTTTCTTTAGCAGTAACACAAGCATAGCAGTACTGATGCAAAGGGTGAAGAGACAGCTGTAAGCGTTTCATGTTTTATCCTCTTCAGTTTGCCTTCCCTAAATCCACTACAAATTTCTGCCCAGGATTCGGCCAATCCTGAAGAGAGCTCTGTGGATGCATTCGCTTCACACGCAGCGACCTGGGCGAAGCAGTGCTTGGCTTTTCGGAGTTCCAAGACTTGGAGTCCCACCAGGCCGTGTTGTCGTGACACGTTTATTCTTGGCCCACAGCATCAGGAACCAACCAAGGCTGTCGGTAGTGAAATGATCTGCCAGTCAAATCCTGATGCCTTCAGTCCGACAATGAGAACAATCCTTGAGCAATTCGGTAAAAAACCCAAACATGATTTTACTATATCCAATCAATTCTAATCATTGGATCTCTCAGGCAATGCCTTTTGTTTGAGTGGCAGCCTGCAAAAGACATTTCTTCTGCCCGATTTACATTTCAGCCTAGGCCCGTTGGATGAATCCAGTTTCAAGCTTTAGAGTAATAGAGACATGGTTGTGTGAAAGACGGTAGATGTCACCTAGAACCCAATCTCGCTGCGGCAACCCCCGCAAATGCAGGCCTTGTTGCCCAGCGAATTTCTTTTTGCGCTTGGCGAATGGAAGTCCATCTCCTCCACCACCAGATGCGCCAGCATGCGTGCTGCGTATCACTGGACATGGCTTGCGGTGCTTGCAGCGCTTTCACGAAAAGCAGGGCTTGCACAGCATGACGTTCCAGAGTCAGGAGGCACGTTGCCGCATGCCAAACTGTTTGCCCAGACTTCTGCATTGTATGAGGTTTACATCGCTTTGATACACACTTACTACGTTTTGGATTCACATAGTTGTTTGTTGCAAATCAAACGTGGTTGGGACAACAGTTGAGAGGGAAGGCAGGTGAATTCAAACAGCTGCTTTTCAATCCCTTCCCCGCAGACAGAGGCATCTCAGATGCCTCTGCACGTGACGCCACAAGAGCCCTCACTAGATTGCGACTTGAGCATGCAGGACGGACTCTCTCTCTCTCTCTCTACAATTTGCCGCTGAAAGATTTTTGCAGAGATGTGATGCGTCATGGTGTGCGTAGGAGGATTGTTGCGGATTGTTACCAACTAATGAAGCAACTCATCATACCACTAGATTTTCAGATATTCAGCTTCATTTTGTGACTCAAATCGTGCTCTAGAGTGACTAGAATGCAGCAGCACAGACGAGTGAGGCGTTGCGTTTTCCCAGAGGGCTACCCCTTGTTCCGCAGGACTGCAAGGTCCGCGACCTGGATTGCATGAAGATGTGGCCTTGCATGAGGGATCTGCCCACTTCTGTTTGGGCTGGTCATGGTTGGGCTTTTGATGAGAACGGGCTCCGACGGCTCTCATCCTCAGGCGGCAGCCATGCCATGGAAGGCGTGGAAGTCTTCGAATCTGTAGGTCTTGCAGCAGAGCAGGTGAAACCTTCAAATGAAAAGATTAGAGACACCCCAATCGCAGTGGCTGCTGAGGAGCATCCCCCGCCACTTGCCGAGGGGCAGAAGCCAAGTCGATTCCAGAGAATCAATGTGGCGAAGCAAAGTGGTGTTCCCAATGTCCAGTGGAAGAATCACCTGCAGGCGTGGGAGGTCAACTTTCACAAAATTGACTCACAGGGCAGCAGGATTGGCAAAACGGGTCGAGTCTTTTCCGTGAAGAAGTTCATGGGCCCAGGCATCTCCGAGGCCCAGGCCGACGCACTAGCTCTCGAGGCCGCCAGGGCCTTCCGCGCAGAGCTGGTGGAGAAGGGCATCCTCAGCGAGCCAAAGCCGTGGGACCCCAACTTCACCAGCGAAGTGCCGGGGGTGAAGTGGAGGAAGGGCAAGCAAAAGTGGCATGTGGAGATCACCCCGAAGAGCGGCAAGAAGAGGATCCACGGCGGCTACTTCACCGAGAAGGCGACGGCCGAGGCGAAGGCCTTGTTGCTCATGGAGAAGACCGGCCTGCAGCGCCAGGTGAAGCCCGTGGCCACGCTGTCGGAGCTGCCGGTGTTCCAGCTGAAGGTGCCCTACCCAGGGGTGATTTGGAGCCAGGCAGAGCAGCAGTGGCGTGCAAGATGCAGCCTTGGTGGTGTGGAGCGAAATTTCAGGGTGAGGCCCAAGGACCACTCGGAGGCGGAGCTGGAGCGCTCCTTCCAAGTGGCAGTGGCATGGAAGAAGAAGCAGAAGAAGGAGAATCAGAAGGAGAAGGAGAAAGAAAGCAAGGCTGTGAAGTCCAAGGTGAAGCCTGGGAGGAAGCAGCGAAAGTGAGTGCAAAAGCCGCAGATGCCTAGTTTCCGAGTTTCCGACGCCGCGTCCGTACAGACAACCCTCACCTGACATGTTTGCAAAAAAGCAAGAGAGCCTTTCTTCCCACTTGTTCGTTTGCAATCACACTGGGAAGATCCTTTTTTGCACACTTGAGCTCAAGTCCGAAACCTGCGGTTCGGGGATGGAATAGGCATAGGGATAGGGATAGGGATGGATAGGGATGGATAGGGAAATATACAAATCATGCTGAACGCATCCAAAGGGAGGCTGAAATTGATGATTGAACCAGAGAAATACCCCTATTCAACTACCATTTGTATCCATGTGTAGGGATATCTGCAGTCATCAGAAGGATTCCCCATCATGGTGAGATGACCATACCCCTTTTTTCCATGTAGCTTGGTACAGATGGCCGCCACAGGACGATACCTTCAAAGGCCCACACTGATGGGTCCAACGGTGGGGGAACTTGCGGGTTTTCTGGGACCTGTGATAGAGAAGAAGCCGCCAAAAACGAAGGTTTTATGAACAAATCCATAGAACATCTGCAGTGCCATGATATGGTATGGCTCAAGATTCTTGACACCCATTTCGGGATGGTTCCATCCGGCAGAGTTTCCCAATTTCGGGCGTCCAGTTGGGGCTCCCACACTGGAAATTCACCACGGAAAACATCAAAAGAATTGGACCAAACTTGATATTTTAGGTGTGGACAACAATCTTGTACCCCTACAAGAATAGGAGAGTCAATACCAACATGCTACAAAATGCCGCGACATTCTGGTTTTGAGAGTCTCAAAACTTGACCCATATCTATATCATACTGGATCAATTCATGAATTGGAATCCGTTATTGTGAGACCTCCCCAACTCAGATTGGCATTTGAGAACTCGCATCCAGCCATCGCTGCAGGTTCCCAGACAACTTCTTACTCCTCCGCGCGCCTGCGAGGTGTGCGCGGTGATTTGATGGTTTTGCTGAGGGAAGAAACCCCTGGATTTGGAAAACTAGCCACCCACAAGAAGGACATCTTCTTGCTGGCAAATTTCCATTGGTTTATAATCCTCATTGGTTGCTGGTTTCATCCCCAAACATTGGTTTACCATGGGAAGGCCCCCGCAGTTACAAGTTGGTCCATAATCTCACCTACCTACCACTATTGACATATAGTGACTATAGATACATCCATTGTAAATCCCAGTTACCCTCCAGTAACCAAACGTGGTAATTGAACATCCCTTATTTATAGATGATTTTCCCAGTTATAAACCTCCATTTAGTTCAGGATTTTCCCTTTGCCAGAGGGTAATCTAGTTAATTAAACCCACGCTACCTGTCGTTTGGCCCCACTTCCTGCCGAGGAGGGAGGCGGCAGCTTCTTGATCGATGGCTATGAGATCTTGCGACAGCTGGAAGAAGACCCCGAGACGAGGCGGCGCGTCGATCCCGAGCAAGGGAGGAAGATGGAATGGTGTGGATCGGTCAAATGCCAGTAGTAGTGATGGGGCAAATGATTAAATGGGGAGATATCTTTCTAAAAGTGGAGATACTGCATGAATGTGGCTGAAATCAATTTCAAATCAATTTCATGGTATGCCTATCAATGGAAACATATATACCAAAGAACGGCTCTCTCTGGCAGTCTATTCTTGGACCATTCCCAATCAGAGAAACATTCGTCAGATCGATCGAAATTGTCATCTAGAATTTCTCACAATTCGCACCGTTAGACTATCCACTTGATCATCTCCCAACACCTGTGCAGTGGCGGGCCCCGAGTAGACAAGGGGGTAGTAACATCTTTGATGGAGATTTTAAGAATTCCTCTGATGACAAATCTTGAAACTATATATCATTTGGTGTTTTTTTTGACTTTGCTGGCTCTCAGAGGGCTGTGCCTACAGGCATGCTATCAATGCTTAGTTGATTCTTCATTTTATATCCCAAGATTACCGTACTTATTAATTTCATTCTATAATTTCATTCTATTCTTAGCATTCCCCCCACATCCCATGCCGATCCCCCATTTTTATCAATTTTTTCCAATTGGTTTTTGTCCAGTTGAACCCGTAGACAGACTATATCCCATATCCCGATCAGATTTCCATTTATAGACGACTCCATTCATATATCCACATGAAGGGCCTTGGATACCATAAGGGCATCACTAATCATCAACATGATTTACCACTAGAGTTGTTCAGAAACATAATTTTTTCATGGAAAAACATGCTGACCCCTTCATAGGTGAACCCAGTGGGTCTCGGTTTTAAGCCACGAGTCACTTCCCTTTCCACACCCAATGGCAGACCTGTGCGCGCGCGTGATGTCTGTGGAGAGCATCCTGGAAGCCTTGCAGAGAAGGGCGCTTGCAACCCGGGAGGCAGGGAGTTGACGGACAAAAAGGGGTGAATTTTCAGCCGACTTTAGCGGGAGATCCGAAACAACTTAGTTTGGGTGGTTTAACACACTATTCTTGGTAGATGAGATACCACATTTCCTGAACAAATCAATTGATGGAATCACCAGTGTCACCATTGTTGATGACATGCCTACTTTTGGATGGGTGTGCTCGTTTCTTTTGGTTGGATTATCCAACTTTTTGTTGGTTATTATCATAATTAACTATCTCCAATTCTCCTTGGTTCGCCTCCAGGTATTGTCGGTTCACTTCCCATTTTTGTTGCTTTTTTGCTAATGAACATCGCACTATCTTGAGTTTTCTCAGTTCAATGCCACATTTTTGGATACTTTAGATACAGCAGATAGATTGGTCGATTCCCATTATTGCCATCAACAAATCCGATCAAGTTGCAAGTTGATGGATAAATCCAACAAAACCATGTTAAAACCCATACTTTCCTGGGAAACTAAATGTTGCTGTACAACATCATCCATTTATAAATGATTTACCATGATTTACCTATGAAAACATGGTTGGAGTCTCCCATTTTGTGTTGTTATCATAATTACCACGATCTTCAATTCTTCTTGGTTCTTAGAAATGATTTACCTATTAAAAAATGTGATTCACCATAGCCATGTTAGTTTACCAGAGGGATCCAGGCCACGTTTGTCACGCTTTTCACGCGCAGGCAGCATGGGCCTTGCCGCGGCGCCGAAGGCAGCTGGGGGCGGGCATCGTGAAGGAGATCCTGTGGCAGCTGGGGATGGAGATGATTCAACCAGCAAATTTGGGATGATACATCATTAGTGGGAAACTATGGGGTAATCATTAGATGGGGATGGGGAGGTTTTTTTCTTTTTCTGGCCTAAGTACAAGTTAATTAATACTTGTTTATTAGAAGGATATATTACACACACACAAACACACACACATATATATATATATGTATACATGTATAAAAGGGATATGACTCACCTAGTAGTTGTGGAGGTCTTGTTCGATTTAAGAATCAAACACACGTGATTTCTTGACGGGGATGATGTGGATTCGCCACACAACAATGGGGATCAAGCACGTTGTATGCTGCCATTTGGGGCTCAACTTTCCAAGCACCCCAGGCGTCGCTCAAAAGCTGTTGGCCTGGGAACCTGAATCGTACCACGCCACGGTAAGAACTGATGGAATCGCTTGAGGAATCATTTGCTGCCAAACACCAGCGCTCGACCCGCCAACACATGGTGCAAACCATGCAGACTGGGGGTCCAAGCTCAGCCAAGATTGAACTTGCTGATGGTGCGGATGCCAAGAACGAGAAATGTGCTGAGCAGGAAGTCAAGTTTGAAAGCAAAGATAAGGAGAAGATGAAGATGTTTAATCTTTGGCTGCAGGTGAAGGGCGAGATCAAGGAAGAGATAGAACAAGAGGAACAACAAGAACAAGCCTGTAAGGCCTCAAGTTTGGATGATCTTACCTGCAAGGAGATCATGATGAAAGAAGAGATGGAAGAAGATCCCAAGCACGATGAAGCTTTTGAAAGCTTAAAATCCCAGTCTGACCACTCTGAAGTTGCAACGCAGGAGAGGGAAATTGAGAAGAGCAACAAGGCTGCGAATAGTCAAACTGCAGCTGAGCCAGAGCCCAAGCTGGTTGCCAAGCGCCGGCGCCTGACCCGCCGAGATATGCAGCAAACCATGCGGACCACGGGTCCAAGCTCAGTAAAAATAGAACTTGCTGATGGTGTGAAGGTCAAGAAGGAGAAAAATGCTGAGCAGGGAATCAGTTTTGAAAGGCAGGATAAAGAGAAGATGGAGCTGGATGATCTTTGGCTCAAGGTTCACAAGAAAGTCAAGCTGCCATTTGCAGCTGCAAACTCCGCCGCAGGACATGCTCCAAAACCACCGGAAAGCGCAGGCACTAGCCAAGTGCAGACATCTACCCAGCAACAGCTGAAACCAAGTGCATCGAAAGCAGACGAGGACTTTTTTGGGTGAGAAATGCGTCTGGATTGCTCTGGTAGAATCAGCATCCAAAAGAAAATTCAAATGTTTGGCGTTGCATACTTTCTTTAACACAAGCATAGCAGTACTGATGCAAAGGGAGACAGCTGTAGCGTTTCATGTTCTCTTGTCTGCAGTTTGCCTTCCCTACATCCACTCCATTTCTGTGCAGGACTTGGCCAATCCTGAAGAGAGCTCCTTGGGTGCATTCGCTTCACACGCAGCGACCTGGGCGAAGCAGTGCTTGGCTTTTCGGAATTCCAAGACTTGGAGTCCCACCAGGCCGTGTTGTCGTGACACAGTTTATTCTTGGCCCACAGCATCAGGAACCAACCAAGGCTGTCGGTAGTGAAATGATCTGCCAGTCAAATCCTGATCCCTTCAGTCCGACAATGAGAACACTCCTTGAGCAATTCGGTAAAAAACCCAAACATGATTTTACTATATCCAATCAATTCTAATCATTGGATCTCTCAGGCAATGCCTTTTGTTTGAGTGGCAGCCTGCAAAAGACATTTCTTCTGCCCGATTTACATTTCAGCCTAGGCCTGTTGGATGAATCCAGTTTCAAGCTTTAGAGTAATAGAGACATGGTGATGTGAAAGCCGGTAGATTTCACCTAGAACCCAATCTCGCTGCGGCAACCCCCGCAAATGCAGGCCTTGTTGCCCAGCGAATTTCTTTTTGCGCTTGGCGAATGGAAGTCCATCTCCTCCACCACCAGATGCGCCAGCATGCGTGCTGCGTCTCACTGGACATGGCTTGCGGTGCTTGCAGCGCTTTCACGAAAAGCAGGGCTTGCACAGCATGACCTTCCAGAGTCAGGAGGGATGTTGTTTGCTTAACTACTGTGTCTGCATAGTATGTGGTTTGCAGATTCACATATTTGTTTCTTGTAAATCGAAGAGACAACAGTTGAGAGTCTTGAGAGTGAAGGCAGGTGACTTCAAACAGTTGCCGCATATGTTTTTCAGACCCTTTCCTGCAGGCAGAGGCATCTCAGACGCCCCGGGACATGTCGCCACAAGAGCCCCCAATAGATAGCGACTTGAGCATGCAGGACCGACTCTCCCTACACTGCACAATTTGTCGTTGAAAGGTTTTTGCAGAAATGTGATGCATCATGGTGTGCGTAGGAGGATTGTTACTGATTGTTACTGATTGTTACCGACCAACGAAGCAACTCCTGTTACCACCAGATTTTCCGATATCCAGCTTCATTCTACCACTTAAATCGTGCTCTGGAATGATTAGAATGTAGCACAGATGAGTGAGGCGTTGCGTTCTCAGAGGCTACGCTTTGTTCTGTGCTGCCAGCATCAGGACTACAAGGTCCTTGGCCTGGATTGCATGAAGATGTGGCCTTGGATGAGGGATCTGCCCACTTCTGTTTGGGCTGGTCATGGTTGGGCTTTTGATGAGAACGGTCTCCGGCGGCTCTCATCCTCAGGCGGCAGCCATGCCATGCAAGGCGTGGAAGTCTTCGAATCTGTGGGTGTTGCATCGGAGGAGGTGAAACTTTCAGACGAAAAGATTAGAGAAACCCCAATCGCAGTTGCAGCTGCGGAGTGTCCTCTCCCATTTGCCGAGGGGCAGAAACCAGCTGGTTTTCGGAGAATCAATGTGGCAAAGCAAAGTGGGGTGCCGAATGTTGTCTGGGGTGACACCATGCAAGCTTGGTGCGTTCAATTTTACGAACGAGATGCCAAAGGCCAAAAGACTCGCAGAACAAGTCGGCGGTTTTCCCTGAAACACTTCATGGGCCCAGGCGTCTCCGAGGCCCAGGCCAACACAGCAGCTCTCGAGTCCGCCAAGGCCTTCCGTGCAGAGTTGGTGGAGAAGGGCATCCTCAGCGAGCCGAAGCCGCGGGACCCCAAATTCACCAGCGAAGTGCCGGGGGTGAAGTGGAGGAAGAATCGGCAAAAGTGGCACGTGGAGATCACCCCGAAGGGTGGCAAGAAGAAGATTCACGGAGGCCTCTTCACCGAGAAGGCGGCGGCCGAGGCCAAGGCCCTGGAGATCGTGGAGAAGGCCGGCCTGCAGCGCCAGGTGAAGCCCGTGGCCAACCTGTCGGAGCTGCCGGTGTTCCAACCCAAGGTGCCCTACCCTGGGGTCACTTGGGAGCAGAAGTCACAGCAGTGGCATGCTCAGTGCCGAGTGGCGGGAGCCAATCGACATTTCACGGTGAAACCGAAGGACCACTCGGAGGCGGAGCTGGAGCGCTCCTTCCAAGTGGCTGTGGCATGGAGGAGGAAGCAGGAGAAGGAGAATCAGAAGGAGAAGGAGAAAGAAATCAACGCTGTGAAGTCCAAGGTGAAGCCTGGGAGGAAGCAGCGAAAGTGAGTGCAAAAGCCGGAGATGCCAAGGTGCATGGCTCAGTTTCCGACGCCGCGACCGTACAGACAATCCTCACTTCACATGATGCGCAGGAAGAAATCAAGAGTGCTTTTCTTCCCATTCATTCATTTGCAATCACAGTGGGAAGATACTGTTTTGCACACTTGAGCTCAAGTCCGAAACCTGCGGTTCGGGGATGGAATAGGCATAGGGATAGGGATGGATGGGATGGATAGGGATGGATAGGGATGGACAGGGATTGATAGGGAAATATACAAATCATGCTGAACGCATCCAAAGTGAGACTGAAATTTATGATTGAATCAGAGAAATTATCTTATTTAACCACCATTTGTAATTTGTATCCATTTGTTGCTGCTGTCATGTTGCTCGGAGTGTTTATGAGTGACATTGCGCCTGCGAAAAAAAACCACCATTTGTATCCATTTGTAGGGATTAATACAGTCATCAGAAGGATTCCCCATCATGGTGAGATGACCATACTCCTTTTTCCCATGTAGCTTGACCATGGTACAGATGGCCGCCACAGGACGATACCTTCAAGGCCTGATGGCAATGCCTATGGAGATGAGCTCCTTGGGCCCAACGGTGGAGGAAATCGTGGGTTTTCTGGGACCTGTGAAGATAGAAACATCACCCCAAAACAAAGGTTTTTATGAAACATGTCACATTTAATCGGAAAATCCATGGAAAATCTGCAGTGCCATAGGATATATATTCAACACATATGGCGGTATGGCTCAAGATTCTTGACACCCATTTCGGGATGTTCCATCAGAGTTTATCTAATCTTATCTTCCTGATATTAAAACCCTTCGAAACAACTTGAAACCTTGGTTTCATACGTGATCCCCTATTGTGAGACTTCACCAACTCAGATTGACATTTGAGAATTCGCATCCAGCCATCGCTGCAGGTTCCCAGACAACTTCTAACTCCTCCGTGCGCCTGCGAGGTGTGCTCGGTGATTTGATAGTTTTGCCGAGGGAAGAAACCCCTGGATTTGGAAAACTAGCCACCCACAAGAAGGACATCTTCTTCTTGTTGGCAAATTTCCATTGGTTTAGAATCGGAATTGGTTGCTGGTTTCATCCCCAAAAACATTGGGTTACCATGGGAAGGCTCCCCCAGCTACAAGTTTGTCTATAATCTCACCTACCACTATTGACCATAGACGCATCATGATACGTCATGATACATCCACTATAAATCCCACTTACCCTCCGGTAATCAAACTTGGCAATTGAGCATACCCCATTTACAATTGACTTTCTCAGCTATAAACCTCCATTTACTAATTTAGTTCGGGGATTTTCCATTTACCAGAGGGTAGCCTTGTGAACTAAACCAAGGTTACCGTACCTGTCGTTTGCCCCACTTCCTGCCGAGGAGGGAGGCAGCTTCTTGATCGATAACGATGAGATCTTGCGACAGCTGGAAGAAGATCCCGAGACGAGGCGTCGCGTCGATGTCGAGCAAGGGAGGAAGATGGCACGGTGTGGATCGGTCAAATGCCAGTAGTGATGGGGAAATGATGTAAATGGGGAGATATCTTACAAAAGGTGGAGATACTGGATGTATGTGGCTCAAACAAATTCGAATAATTTCATTTGATCCCTTCTGTGGAAAAATATGCCAAAGAACCGATCTCTCTGGCAGTTGATCCTTTAGCCATCCTCAATCAGAAAAACAGCACTCGTCAGATTGATCGAAATTGTCATCTAGAACTTCTCATACTTCGCAGCCGTAGACTAGCCACTTGATCATGCCTTTTACTTGTCATGTTTTGCCAGTTCCAGACATTTTTATCTATGCATGCCGGTGCAGTGGCGGGCCCCCAGTAGACAATGGGTTGAAACATGGTTGATGGAGATTTTAAGAATTCCTCTGGTGATAATTTTCGAAACTATCACTCAGTGGTTCTTTCGACTTTGCAGGCTTTCAGAGGACTGTGCCTACAAGCATGCTATCATTTGATTAATCCTAATTGTAGGTGGTTAATAGTAATTCTTAATTGATTCTTCGTTTTATATCCCAAGATTGCTGCCATTATGAAAAAAATATTCTTAGCATTCCTCAGGCATCCCATGCTGATAGCCAATTTTTTTCCATTTGGGTTTTTTCCAGTTGAGCTCAATAGCGGTCTGACCGCTATATCCAATAGAATACATTGCATCCCCGTTAGATTGTCCATTTTCCGATGATTGCATGTTACTTATATTCACATGGAGGGCCTTGGATACCATAAGGGGCATCACTGATCATCAACAGAAGTAGCTCCAACATTGAATGATTTACCGCTAGAGTGGGTCTGAAACAACACTTTTTTTTCAATGGAAAAACATGCTGACCCCTTCATGGGTGAAGCATGACCCCAGTGGGTCTCAGATTTAAAACACGAGTCACTTCCCTTTCCACACCCAATGGCAGACCTGTGCGCGCGTGACGTTTGTGGAGAGCATTTGGGAGGCCCTGCAAGAGAAGGGCGCTTGCAACCTGGGAGGCAGGGAGTTGACGGACAAAAAGGGGTAAAATTTCAGCCGATTTTAGAGGAACATTTGAAACAACCTAATTTGGGTGGGTGGTAAAAAAAACTTCTTGGTAGATGAGATACCACATTTCTTGAACAAATCAACTGATGGAAGGAGCAGTGTAACCGTTGTTGGTGCCATGCCTAGTTTTGGATGGATGGGCTCATTTCTTTTGGTTGGATTATCCAACTTTTTGCTGGTTATTAGTTAAGTTATATTAAGTTATTATCATACTTAACTATCTCCAATTCTTCTTGGTTCGCCTCCAGGTATTGTCAGCTTACTCCCCATTTTTGTCGCTTGGTCACTTAGACCTTTTCTTTTTTAGTTTCTAAATCATGTTTTGCTAATGAACATCGCAGTATCGTGATTTTTCTCAGTTCAATGCCACATGTTTGGATACTTTAGATACAGCAGATACAATAGATAGATTGGTTGATCCCCATTATTGCCATCAACAAATCCCGTCCAGTTGATCAATAAATCCATCAAAACCATGTAAAGCCCATACTTTCCTGGGAAACTAAATATTGCTGTACAACATCATCCATTTATACATGATTTACCATGATTTACCTATGAAAACTTCACGTTTTTCACGCGCGGCAGGCGGCATGGGCCTTGCCGCAGCGCCTCGCAGCTGGCGGCGGGCATCGCGAAGGAGATCCTGTGGCAGCTGGGGATGGAGATGATTCAAGCAGCAAATTTGGGATGATATATCATTAGTGGGAAACTATGGGGTAATTCTTTCTGGCCTAAGTACAAGTTAATTAATACTTGTTTATTAGAAGGATATATTATACACACAAACACACACACACATACATATATATATATATTTATACATGTACAAAAGGGATATGACTCACCTAGTAGTTATGGAGGTCTTGTTCGATTTAAGAATCAAACACACGGACACGCGATCTCTTGACGGGGATGATGTGGATTCGCCACACAACAATGGGGATCAAGCACGTTGTATGCTGCCATTTGGGGCTCAACTTTCCAAGCACCCCAGGCGTCGCTCAAAAGCTGTTGGCCTGGGAACGTGAATCGTACCACGCCACGGCAAGAACTGATGGAATCACTTGAGGAATCATTTGCTGCCAAACACCAGCGCTCGACCCGCCAACACATGGTGCAAACCATGCAGACTGGGGGTCCAAGCTCAGCCAAGATTGAACTTGTTGATGGTGCGGATGCCAAGAAGGAGAAACGTGCTGAGCAGGAAGTCAAGTTTGAAAGCCAAAATAAGGAGAAGATGAAGATGGATAATCTTTGGCTGCAGGTGAAGGGCGAGATCAAGGAAGAGATAGAACAAGAGGAACAACAAGAACAAACCTGTAAGTCCTCAAGTTTGGATGATCTTACCCGCAAGGAGATCATGATGAAAGAAGAGATGGAAGAAGAGCCCAAGCACGATGAAGCTTTTGAGAGCTTACAAAGCCAGTCCAACCACTCTGAAGTTACAACGCAGAAGAGGGACATTGAGAAGAGCAACAAGGCTGCGAATAGTCAAAACGGAGGTGAGCCAGAGCACCAGCCGGTTGCCAAGCGCCGGCGCCTGACCCGCCGAGATATGCAGCAACCCATGGAGATCGGGGGTCCAAGCTCAGTAAAGATAGAACTTGCTGATGGTGTGAAGGTCAAGAAGGAGAAACATGCGGAGCAGGAAATCGGTTTTAAAAGACAAGATAAGGAGAAGATGGAGCTGGATGATCTTTGGCTCAAGGTTCACAAGAAAGTCAATGAGCAGTCATTGATGACATTTCCAGCTGCAAACGCCGCCGCAGAAAATGCTCTGAAACCACCGGAAAGCGAGTCAGGCATTAACCAAGTGCAGACGTCTGCCCAGCAACAGCTGGAACCAAGTGCATTTGGCATGGAAGATGCTTCAAGATCGAAAGCAGACGAGGACTGTTTTTGGGTATGAGAAATGCGTTTGGACTGCTCTGGTAGAATCAGCATCCAAAATGGAATTGGAACATTTGGCGTTGTCATACTTGCTTTGACACAAGCATAGCAGTACTGATGCAAAGGGTGAAGAGACAGCTGTAGCGTTTCATGTTTTCTTCTCTTCAGTTTGCCTTCCCTAAATCAACTACATTTCTGCCCAGGATTCGGCCAATCCCGAAGAGAGCTCCTTGGATGCATTCGCTTCACACGCAGCGACCTGGGCAAAGCAGTGCTTGGCTTTTCGGAGTTCCAAGACTTGGAGTCCCACCAGGCCGTGTTGTCGCGTTGCCGTGTCTCAACATCAAGAACCAACCGGGGCTGTCGGTACTGTCGGTAGTGAAATGATCTGCCTGTCAAATCCTGATGCCTTCAGTCGAACAATCCTTGAGCTGATCAACTTGGCAAGAGACCCAAGAATATAGTTTCATATCTAACTGTGGATCATATTCTAACCATTCGATCCCTACTATGCAACGCGGCAATGCCTTTGTTTGACTGGCAGCTGTAAATTTCAGCCTAGGCCTGTTGGGTGAATCCAGCTTCAAGCTTTAGAGGAGCAGAGACGGTAGATTTCATCTAGAACCCAAATATCTCCCTGCAGCAACGGGCGAATGCAGGCCTTGTTGCCCTGCGAATTTCTTTTTGCGCTTGGCGAATGAAACTCCATCTCCTCCACCACCAGATGCGCCAGCATGCGTGCTGCGTCTCACTGGACATGGCTTGCGGTGCTTGCAGCGCTCTCACGAAAAGCACGACTTGCATAGCATGACGTCCCAGAGTCAGGAGGGATGTTGTTTGCTGAACCTCTGCACTGTGTCTCATAGTATGTGGTTTACATTGCTTCGATACGCGCTTTACTAGGTTTTGGATTCAAATGTTTGTTTCTTGTAAATCAAAGAGACAACAGCTGAGAGTGAAGGCAGGTGACTTCAAACAGTTGGTGCCATATGTTTTTCAAGCCCTTCCCTGAAGGCAGAGGCATCTCGGACGCCCCTGGACATGTCGCCACAAGAGCCAACACTAGATTGCGACTTGAGCATGCAGGACCGACTCTCCTTACACTGCACAATTTATCGTTGAAAGGTATTTGCAGAAATGTGATGCATCATGGTGTGCGTAGCAGGATTGTTGCAGATTGTTGCAGATTGTTAGAGATTATTACCAACTAACGAAGCAATTTGTCTTACCACCAGATTTTCCGATATTCAACTTCATTTTATCACTTAGATCGTGCTCTGGAATGATTGGAATGTAGCAGAGACGAGCGAGGCGTTGCGTTTTCCCAGAGTGCTACGCTTTGTTTTGTGCTGCCAGCATCAGGACAACAAGGTCCGCAGCATGGATTGTACCAAGAGGTGGCCGTGGATGAGGGATCTGCCAACTTCCGTTTGGGCCGGTCGTGGTTGGGCTTTTGATGAGAACGGGCTCCGACGGCTCTCATCCTCAGGCGGCAGCAATGCCATGCAAGGCGTGGAAGTCTTCGAATCTGTGGGTCTTGCAGCAGAGGAGGTGAAACCTTCAGACGAAAAGATTAGAGACACCCCAATCGCAGTGGCTGCTGAGGAGAATCCCCCGCCACTTGCGGAGGGGCAGAAGCCAAGTCGATTCCAGAGAGTCAATGTGGCGAAGCAAAGCGGGATTCCAAACATCTGCTGGAACATCCTTTGTTCCTGGGAGGTCAATTTTCCCAAAGTTGATTCAAAAGGAAAACGGAGCGGGAGGACAAATCGAAAGTTTTCAGTGAAAAACTTCATGGGCCCAGGCATCTCCGAGGCCCAGGCCGACGCAGCAGCTCTCGAGGCCGCCAAGGCCTTCCGAGCAGAGCTGGTGGAGAAGGGCATCCTCAGCGAGCCGAAGCCGCGGGACCCCAACTTCACCAGCGAAGTGCTGGGGGTGAGGTGGCAAAAGAATCAGCAAAAGTGGCGGGTGGAGATCACCCCGAAGGGTGGCAAGAAGAAGATTCACGGCGGCGTCTTCACCGAGAAGGCGGCGGCCGAGGCCAAGGCCTTGGAGCTCGTGGAGAAGGCCGGCCTGCAGCGCCAGGTAAAGCCCGTGGCCACCCTGTCGGAGCTGCCGGTGTTCCACCCCAAGGTGCCCTACCCTGGGGTCACTTGGGAGCAGAGGTCACAGCAGTGGCATGCTCAGTGCCAAGTGGCGGGAGCCAATCGACATTTCAGGGTGAAGCCCAAGGACCACTCGGAGGCGGAGCTGGAGCGCTCTTTCCAAGTCGCCGTGGCATGGAGGAGGAAGCAGGAGAAGGAGAATCAGAAGGAGAAGGAGAAAGAAAGCAAGGCTGTGAAGTCCAAGGTGAAGCCTGGGAGGAAGCAGCGAAAGTGAGTGCAAAAGCCGTAGATGCCAAGCTGCATGGCTCAGTTTCCGACGCGGCGTCCGTACAGTCAATCCTCACTCCACATGATGCGCAGGAAGAAATCAAGAGTGCTTTTCTTGCCATCCATTCATTTGCAATCACAATGGGAAGATCCTGTTTTGCAGACTTGAGCTCAAGTCCTATTCCTGCGGTTCGGAGATGGAATAGGCATAGGGATGGATAGGGATGGATAGGGATGGACAGGGATTGATAGGGATGGATAGGGATGGATAGGGAAATATACAAATCATGATGAACGCATCCAAAGTGAGGCTGAAATCGATGATTGAATCAGAGAAATACGGTTATTCAACCACCATTTCTAGGGATTAGTACAGTCATCAGAAGGATTCCCCATCATGGTGAGATGACCACACCCGTTTTTTCTCAATGTAGCTTGACCACGGACAGGACGATACCTTCAAGGCCTGATGGCAATGCCTATGGAGATGAGCTCCTTGGGTCCTGCCTGCAGTGGAGGAAATCGTGGGTTTTCTGGGACCTGTGAAGATAGAACAATCACCCAAAAACGGTGGTTTTTATGAACAAATCCCGAGGAACATGTCTTTTGAATTGGAAAATCCATAGAACATCTGCAGTGCCATCGGATATATATATATATTCAACACATATGGCGGTATGGCTCAAGTGTTTTTGACACCCATTTCGGGATGGTTCCATCCGGCAGAGTTTCCCAATTTCGGGCGTCCAGTTGGGGCTCCCACACTGGAATTCACCACGGAAAACATCAAACGAATTGGACCAAACTTGATATTTTAGGTGTGGATAACTTGTACCCCTACAAGAACAGGAGAGTCAATGCCAAGATGCTACAAAATGATACGACATTCTGATTTTGAGAGTCTTAAAAACTTGACCCATATCTAATCCCATGTTCCTAATGTTAAACCCCCTCGAAAGGAAAGTTGAAACCCTGTTTTCACACTGGATCGCAGACCTCATCAACTTCCCTTATTGTGAGTATTCTATACATGCCCCCCATGGAAACCCTGGCTTCGTACAGAATCTATTTATGAACCGTCATCTCTTATTGTGCATATTTGTCATGAGCGGAAGGAACTGCCAAGGGATTACCCTCTAGTAACCAAGGGTGGAAATGGAGAATCCCCATCAATAGATGATTCTCCCATTTGGGGGTTTCCTTAAAATGGGGGAGCCCCAAAACCATGGGTTTTAGTACACAAATTGCTAATTTTGGATGATTTGGGGTAATTACTCACATTTTAGGAAGCTTCCATTTAAATACCCATTTGTAAGGGATTTCCCAGCCAGCCATGTTTGATGATACTAGAGGGTATACGTCAGCAACCTGGATTGACATTTGAGAACTCGCATCCAGCCATCACTGCAGGTTCCCAGACAGCTTCTTACTCCTCTGCGCGCCTGCGAGGTGTGCCTGGCGATTCGATGGTTTTGCTGAGGGAAGAAACCTCTGGATTTGGAAAACCAGCCACCTTCTAAGAAGGACATCTTCTTGTTGGCAAAAATTCCATTGGTTTATGATCCTCATTGGTTGCTGGTTTCATCCCCAAACATTGATTTGTTGTTGGAATGCCCCCGCAGTTACAAGTTGGTTCCTTATCTCACCTACACAAATTGACCATAGACGCATCATGATACGTCATGATACATCCACTATAAATCCCACTTACCCTCCGGTAATCAAACTTGGCAATTGAGCATACCCCATTTACAATTGACTTTCTCAGCTATAAACCTCCATTTACTAATTTAGTTCGGGGATTTTCCATTTACCAGAGGGTAGCCTTGTGAACTAAACCAAGGTTACCGTACCTGTCGTTTGGAGGCCCCACTCCCTGCTGAGGGAGGCAACTTCTTGATCGATGGTGATGAGATCTTGCGACAGCTGGAAGAAGACCCTGAGACGAGGCCAAGGGAGGATGGCACGGTGTGGATCGGTCAAATGCCAGTAGTGATGGGGAAATGATGTAAATGGGGAGATATCTTACAAAAGGTGGAGATACTGGATGTATGTGGCTCAAACAAATTCGAATAATTTCATTTGATCCCTTCTGTGGAAAAATATGCCAAAGAACCGATCTCTCTGGCAGTTGATTCTTTAGCCATCCTCAATCAGAAAAACAGCACTCGTCAGATTGATCGAAATTGTCATCTAGAACTTCTCATACTTCGCAGCCTTAGACTAGCCACTTGATCATGCCTTTTACTTGTCATGTTTTGCCAGTTCCAGACATTTTTATCTATGCATGCCGGTGCAGTGGCGGGCCCCCAGTAGACAAGGGTTGAAACATGGTTGATGGAGATTTTAAGAATTCCTCTGGTGATAATTTTCGAAACTATCACTCAGTGGTTCTTTTCGACTTTGCCGGCTTTCAGAGGACTGTGCCTACAAGCATGCTATCATTTGATTACTCCTAATTGTAGGTGATTAATAGTAATTCTTAATTGATTCTTCATTTTATATCCCAAGATTGCTGCCATTATGAAAAAATATTCTTAGCATTCCTCACGCATCCCATGCTGATAGCCAATTTTTTTCCATTTGTGTCTTGTCCAGTTGAGCTCAATAGACCGCTATATCCCATAGAATACATTGCATCCCCGTTAGATTCTCCATTTACCGATGATTGCATGTTACTTATATTCACATGGAGGGCCTTGGATACCATAAGAGGCATCACTGTCATCAACAGAAGTAGCTCCAACATTGAATGATTTACCGCTAGAGTGGGTCTGAAACAACACTTTTTTCAATGGAAAAACATGCTGACCCCTTCATAGGTGAAGCATGACCCCAGTGGGTCTCGGTTTTAAACCACGAGTCACTTCCCTTTCCACACCCAATGGCAGACCTGTGCGCGCGTGACGTTTGTGGAGAGCATTTGGGAGGCCCTGCAAGAGAAGGGCGCTTGCAACCTGGGAGGCAGGGAGTTGACGGACAAAAAGGGGTAAAAATTCAGCCGATTTTAGAGGAACATTTCAAACAACCTAGTTTGGGTGGGTGGTTAAAAAAAACTTCTTGGTAGATTAGATACCACATTTCCTGAACAAATCAACTGATGGAAGGAGCAGTGTAACTGTTGTTGGTGCCATGCCTAGTTTTGGATGGGTGGGCTCATTTGTTTTGGTTGGATTATCCAACTTTTTGCTGGTTATTAGTTAAGTTATCAAAGGAAGTTGGGAAGCAATACTTCCGTGTTACGGACACATAGAATTCTGCGACTTGAAATGATGCAGGGTGGTAGATCACATAACAATACATCACATAACAATACATAACATAACAATACATAACAAAAGAATAAGAAGCAGTGGAATTGACTTTGATGAAGGGTGGTGATAATGACGGGTGGTGACGAAGGGAAGTGGTGACGAAGGGAAGTGGTGACGAAGGGAAGTGATGAGGAAGGGAAGTGGTGACGATGGGAAGTGGTGACGTAGGGAAGTGGTGACGAAGGGAAGTGGTGACGAAGGGAAGTGGTGACGAAGGGAAGTGGTGGATAAGGGAAGTGGTGACGAAGGGAAGTGGTGAAACAGGGAAGTGATGATGAAGGGGAGTGGTGACGAAGGGAAGTGGTGAAGAAGGGAAGGGAAGCCGGAGCACGAAACCTTGTGTTTTTCCGTGTAAAGTGGCTGCAGCCGGCGATGAAAGGTACCTCGTGTGTGCGGCGGTTGCGGCTGCGGTCGTTTGGTTCCTTCTATGTGTTTTGCAACAATGGTGGTTCCTGTGTGTGTAGTTCTATGCGTTTCTTGAAGCTGTGGTTGCAGATCGCATTGGAATGGCTGCATGAATGTTGCATGGGCTATGTTTTGGGGAGGAAGCCGGAGCACGAAACCTTGTGTTTTTCCGTGTAAAGTGGCTGCAGCCGGCGATGAAAGGTACCTCGTCTGTGCGGCGGTTGCGGCTGCGGTCGGTTTATCGTTTTTTTTTGCCGCAGTGTAACGGTGGCTTGAAGCTGCTTTGGGTGTGGTTGTGTGTGCGTATTTATAGGGTGTTTTGGAATCTGTGGTTGCAGATCCCATTGGAATGGCTGCATGATGTTGCATGGGCTATGTTTTGGGGAGGAAGCCGGAGCACGAAACCTTGTGTTTTTCCGTGTAAAGTGGCTGCAGGCGACGATGAAAGGTACCTCGTGTGTGCAACGGTTGCGGCTGCGGTCGGTTTGTCGTTTTTTTTTTGCCGCAGTGTAACGGTGGCTTGAAGCTGCTTTGGGTGTGGTTGTGTGTGCGTAGTTATAGGGTGTTTTGGAATCTGTGGTTGCAGATCGCATTGGAATGGCTGCATGACTCTTGTCATCTGCTGTTCTGGTGTTGTTCTGTGCGTAGATAGGTGCAAGTTTGCGAGTTGATGCTGCGAACCGCATTGTAATGGCTGCATGATGTTGCATGGGCTATGTTTTGGGGAGGAAGCCGGAGCACGAAACCTTGTGTTTTTCCGTGTAAAGTGGCTGCAGGCGACGATGAAAGGTACCTCGTGTGTGCGACGGTTGCGGCTGCGGTCGGTTTGTCGTTTTTTTTTGCCGCATTGTAACGGTGGCTGCAAGCTGCTTTGGGTGTGGTTGTGTGTGCGTAGTTATAGGGTGTTTTGGAATCTGTGGTTGCAGATCCCATTGGAATGGCTGCATGATGTTGCATGGGCTATGTTTTGGGGAGGAAGCCGGAGCACGAAACCTTGTGTTTTTCCGTGTAAAGTGGCTGCAGGTGACGATGAAAGGTACCTCGTGTGTGCGACGGTTGCGGCTGCGGTCGGTTTATCGTTTTTTTTTTTGCCGCAGTGTCACGGTGGCTTCAAGCTGCTTTGGGTGTGCTTGTGTGTGCGTAGTTATAGGGTGTTTTGGAATCTCCGGTTGCAGATCGCATTGGAGTGGCTGCCTCAAGGTTGCTTGCCGCCTCGGCTGCATGCGTAATACTATTCTCTTTTGCAGCTGAAGATTTGTGAATCGTATTGGAGTGGCTGCATCCAGGTTGCGATAGTCATTTGTCAGCAGATTTTCGCAAATTTGGCGCTAGTAATTTTTCTTTTCAAATTCCTTGCAAAAAATGCGTCAAAATCGTCTTTTTTCTGCTTTGGCGTCGAGATCCGGTTTTGGAGTTGCGATTTCCGACGCCGTTGCGCTTAGTTCTATTGTGATTTGCAACTCAGTCTCTGCAGATCGCATTGGAGTGGCTGCCTCAAGGTTGCTTGTCGCCGCGGCTGCATGCGTAATACTATTGTCTTTTGCAGCTGAAGATTGTAAATCGTATTGGAGTGGCTGCATCCAGGCTGCGATAGTCATTTGTCAGCAGATTTTCGCAATTTTGGCGCTAGTAATTTTCCTTTTAAAATTCCTTTTAAAAAATGCTTCAAAATCGTCTTTTTTTTGCTTTGGCGTCGAGATCCGGTTTTTGGAGCTGCAATTTCCGACGCCGTTGCGCTTAGTTCTATTGTGATTTGCAACTCAGTCTCTGCAGATCGCATTGGAGTGGCTGCCTCAAGCTTGCTTGCCGCCGCGGCTGCATGCGTAATACTATTGTCTTTTGCAGCTGAAGATTGTAAATCGTATTGGAGTGGCTGCATCCAGGCTGCGATAGTCATTTGTCAGCAGATTTTCGCAATTTTGGCGTTAGTAATTTTCCTTTTAAAATCCCTTTTAAAAATGCTTCAAAATCGTCTTTTTCCTGCTTTGGCGTCGAGATCCGGTTTTGGAGCTGCAATTCCTGTGTGGAAAAGTTTGTGTGTAAACGCTTGCCATGTGTAAAAGCACTGTGTGCAAGTACTGTGTGTAAGTGTTCTGTGTCTAAACGCTTGCTGTGTGTGAAAGCTTGCTGTGTGTAAAAGATGTTGCGTGTAAAAGTTTGCTGTGTGTAAAAGCTTATCTGCGCATGTGTTAAAAGTGTCTCTGTGTAAAAGTTTTTTTTTGGTGTGTGTGTAAACGCTTGCCATGTGTAAAAGCACTGTGTGTAAGTGTTCTGTGTGTAAACGCTTGCCATGTGTAAAAGCACTGTGTGCAAGTACTGTGTGTAAACGCTTGCTGTGTGTGAAAGCTTGCTGCGTGTAAAAGTTTTGTGTGTAAAAGTTTGCTGTGTGTAAAAGCTTTTCTGTGTGTAAAAGCGTCTCTGTGTAAAAGTTTCTGTGTGTGTGTGTAAGCGCTTGCCATGTGTAAAAGCACTGTGTGTAAGTGTTTTGTGTGTAAATGCTTGCTGTGTGTGAAAGCTTGCTGTGTGTAAAAGCTTCTCTGTGGAGTGAAGAAGTGTGGAGTGTGAAGAAAGCAATGAGAAGTGTGAAGTGCGGACTGTGACGTGTAAAGTGTGAAGTATGAAGTGTGGAGTCTGAAGAAAGCAGTGAGAAGTGTGAAGCGTGGAGTGTAAAGTGTGGAGTGTGAAGTGTGGAGTGTGAAGTGTGGAGTGAGAAGTGAGAAGTGAGAAGTGTGAAGTGTGGAGCGTGAAGTTTGGAGTGCGAAGAGTGCAGTGTGAAGTGTGAAGTGTGGAGTGCGAAGAGTGCAGTGTGAAGTGTGAAGTGTGAAGTTCTGAAGAAAGCAGTGAGAAGTGTGAAGCGTGGAGTGTAAAGTGTGGAGTGTGAAGTGTGGAGTGTGAAGTGTGGAGTGAGAAGTGAGAAGTGAGAAGTGTGAAGTGTGGAGCGTGAAGTTTGGAGTGCGAAGAGTGCAGTGTGAAGTGTGAAGTGTGGAGTGCGAAGAGTGCAGTGTGAAGTGTGAAGTGTGAAGTGTGGAGTGTGAAGTGCGAAGTGGAGCTTCACATGTGACATGTGAAGCAGGACACAACTTTCGCAGAGTGCACGCACGCACGGGCTTGGCTGGCGCACGGCGCATGCAAGTTCTATAGATGAGAAAGGTCTTATATATATATCTTTAAGGCAACTTCCGCCCCGCCTCGTGCGGGTACTACTGGTATTAAGTTATTATCATACTTAACTATCTGTCAATTCTTGTTGGTTCGCCTCCAGGTATTGTCAGCTTACTCCCCATTTTTGTCGCTTGGTCACTTAGACCTTTTCTTTTTTAGTTTCTAAATCGTGTTTTGCTAATGAACATCGCAGTATCGTGATTTTTCTCAGTTCAATGCCACATGTTTGGATACTTTAGATACAGCAGATACAATAGATAGATTGGTTGATCCCCATTATTGCCATCAACAAATCCCGTCCAGTTGATCAATAAATCCATCAAAACCATGTAAAGCCCATACTTTCCTGGGAAACTAAATATTGCTGTACAACATCATCCATTTATACATGATTTACGATGATTTACCTATGAAAACTTTATGTTTTTCACGCGCGGCAGGCGGCATGGGCCTTGCCGCAGCGCCTCGCAGCTGGCGGCGGGCATCGCGAAGGAGATCCCGTGGCAGCTGTGGATGGAGATGATTCAAGCAGCAAATTTGGGATGATATATTATTAGTGGGAAACTATGGGGTAATCATTAGATGGTGTTTTTTTTTCTTTCTGGCCTAAGTACAAGTTGATTAATACTTGTTTATTAGAAGGATATATTACACACAAACACACACACACGTACATATATATATATATATATTTATACATGTACAAAAGGGATATGACTCACCTAGTAGTTATGGAGGTCTTGTTCGATTTAAGAATCAAACGCACGGACACGCGATCTCTTGACGGGGATGATGTGGATTCGCCACACAACAATGGGGATCAAGCACGTTGTATGCTGCCATTTGGGGCTCAATTTTCCAAGCACCCCAGGCGTCGCTCAAAAGCTGTTGGCCTGGGAACCTGAATCGTACCACGCCACGGCAAGAACTGACGGAATCACTTGAGGAATCATTTGCTGCCAAACACCAGCGCTCGACCCGCCAACACATGGTGCAAACCATGCAGACTGGGGGTCCAAGCTCAGCAAAGATTGAACTTGTTGATGGTGCGGATGCCAAGAAGGAGAAACGTGCTGAGCAGGAAGTCAAGTTTGAAAGCCAAAATAAGGAGAAGATGAAGATGGATAATCTTTGGCTGCAGGTGAAGGGCGAGATCAAGGAAGAGATAGAACAAGAGGAACAACAAGAACAAACCTGTAAGTCCTCAAGTTTGGATGATCTTACCCGCAAGGAGATCATGATGAAAGAAGAGATGGAAGAAGATCCCAAGCACGATGAAGCTTTTGAAATTTTAGAAAGCCAGTCCGACCACTCTGAAGTTACAACGCAGAAGAGTGAAACTGAGAAGAGCAACAAGGCTGTGAATAGTCAAACTGCAGCTGAGCCAGAGCCCAAGCCGGTTGCCAAGCGCCGGCGCCTGACCCGGCCAGATATGCAGCAAACCATGCAAACCGGGGGTCCAAGCTCAGTAAAGATAGAACCTGCTGATGGTGTGAAGGTCAAGAAGGAGAAAAATGCTGAGCAGGAAATCAGTTTTCAAAGACAAGATAAAGAGAAGATGGAGCTGGATGATCTTTGGCTCACGGTTCACAAGAAAGTCAAGCTGCCATTTGCAGCTGCAAACTCCGCAGCAGGACATGATCCAAAACCACCGGAAAGCGAGTCAGGCACTAGCCAAGTGCAGACATCTACACAGCAACAGCTGGAACCAAGTGCATCGAAAGCAGACGAGGACTGTTTTTGGGTATGACAAATGCGTTTGGACTGCTCTGGTAGAATCAGCATCCAAAATGTAATTGAAATGTTTGGCGTTGCATACTTTCTTTGACACAAGCATAGCAGTACTGATGCAAAGGGAGACAGCTGTAGCGTTTCATGTTTTCTTCCCTGCAGTTTGCCTTTCTCAAATCAACTACACATTTCTGCCCAGGATTCGGCCAATCCCGAAGAGAGCTCCTTGGATGCATTCGCTTCCCACGCAGCGACCTGGGCGAAGCAGTGCCTGGCTTTTCGGAGTTCCAAGACTTGGAGTCCCACCAGGCCGTGTTGTCATGTTGCCGTGTCTCAACATCAAGAACCAACCGGGGCTGTCGGTACTGTCGGTAGTGAAATGATCTGCCTGTCAAATCCTGATCCCTTCAGTCGAACAATCCTTGAGCTGATCAGCTTGGCAGAGACCCAAGAATATAGTTTCATATCTAATTGTGGATCATTTTTTAACCATTCGAGTCCTACTATGCAACGCGGCAATGCCTTTGTTAATGCCTTTGTTTGACTGGCAGCCTGCAGTTTAGATTTCTTCTGCCCGATTTGAATTTCAGCCTAGGCCTGTTGGATGAACCCAGTTTAAAGATGTTTAAAGCTTTGGAGCAGCAGAGACATGGTGGTGTGAAAGCCGGTAGATTTCATCTAGAACCAAGTCTCCCTGCAGCAACGGACGAATGCAGGCCTTGTTGCCCTGCAAATGTCTTCTTGGGCTCTGCAAACGGAACACCATCTCCGCCACCGGCAGATGCACCAGCAAGCGTGCTGCGTCTCACTGGACATGGCTTGCGGTGCTTGCAGCGCTTTCACGAAAAGCAGGGCTTGCACAGCATGACGTTCCAGAGTCAGGAGGGATGTTGTTTGCTGAACTTCTGCACTGTCTGCATGGTATGAGGTTTACGTTGTTTTGATACACACTCACTACGCTTTGGATTCAAATAGTTGCTTCTTGTAAATCAAACAGGGTTGAGACAACAGTTGAGGGAGAGCAGGCAGGTGAGTTCAATCAGTTGCTGCATATGTCACTGTCATATGTTTTTCAAACCCTTCCCTGCAGGCAGAGGCATCTCAGACGCCCCGGAACATGTCGCCACAAGAGCCCCCACTAGATTGCGACTTGAGCATGCAGGACCGACTCTCTCTACACTGCACAATTTGTCGTTGAATATGTTTTTGCAGAGATGTGATGCATCATGGTGTGCATAGGAGGATTTTTACCAACTAACAACACAACTAGTCTTACCACCAGATTTTCCGATCTTCAACTTCCTTTTTGCCACTTCAATGTTATGTTGATCTAGAACGATTAGAATGTAGCACAACCAGGTGAGGCCTGCATTTTCCTAGAGAGCTACCCTTTGCTCTGTGCTGCCAGCATCAGGACTACAAGGTCCGCGGCCTGGATTGCATGAAGATGTGGCCTTGGATGAGGGATCTGCCCACTTCTGTTTGGGCTGGTCATGGTTGGGCTTTTGATGAGAACGGGCTCCGACGGCTCTCATCCTCAGGCGGCAGCCATGCCATGCAAGGCGTGGAAGTCTTCGAATCTGTAGGTCTTGCAGCAGAGGAGGTGAAACCTTCAGACGAAAAGATCAAAGAAGAAGCCCCAATCGCAGTGGCCGCTGCAGAGAATCCACCACCAACTTGTGAGGAGCAGAAGCCAGCTCGGTTCATGAAAAAAAACTTGGCGAAGCAAAGCGGCATTCCAAACATCCGCTGGAACATCCTTTGTGCCTGGGAAGTCAAATTTCCCAAAGTTGATTCAAAAGGAAAACGGAGCGGGTGGACAAATCGAAAGTTTTCAGTGAAAAAGTTCATGGGCCCAGGCATCTCCGAGGCCCAGGCCGACGCAGCAGCTCTCGAGGCCGCCAAGGCCTTCCGTGCAGAGTTGGTGGAGAAGGGCATCCTCAGCGAGCCGAAGCCGCTGGACCCAAACTTCACCAGCGAAGTGCCGGGGGTGCAGTGGCACAAAAGGATCCAAAAGTGGCAGGTGGAGATCAATTTGAAGTCTGACCAGAAGAAGATCTATGGCGGCTACTTCACCGAGAAGGCGGTGGCCGAGGCCAAGGCCTTGGAGCTCGTGGAGAAGGCCGGCCTGCAGCGCCGGGTAAAGCCCGTGGCCACCCTGGCAAACAGATATGCCGGACTGCCGGTGTTCCATCCCAAGGTGCCCTACCCTGGGGTCAGTTGGGAGCAGAGGTCACAGCAATGGCATGCATACTGCAGCGTTGGTGGTGCGCAGCGAGATTTCTACATCAGGCCCAAGGACCACTCGGAGGCGGAGCTGGAGCGTTCCTTCCAAGTTGCCGTGGCATGGAAGAAGAAGCAGGAGAAGGAGAAGGAGAAAGAAAGCAAGGCTGTGAAGTCCAAGGTGAAGCCTGGGAGGAACCAGCGAAAGTGAGTGCAAAAGGTGCATGGCTCAGTTTCTGAAGCCCCGCCCCGTACAGACAATCCTCACCTGACATGTTTGCAAAAAAAGCAAGAGAGCCTTTCTTCCCATTTGTTCGTTTGCAATCATACTGGGAAGATCCTGTTTTGCACACTTGAGCTCAAGTCCTATTCCTGCGGTTCGGAGATGGAATAGGCATAGGGATGGATAGGGATGGATAGGGATGGACAGGGATTGATAGGGATGGATAGGGATGGATAGGGATGGATAGGGATGGATAGGGATGGATAGGGATGGATAGGGATGGATAGGGAAATATACAAATCATGATGAACACACCATAGTGAGGCTGAAATTGATGATTGAATCAGAGAAATACCGTTATTCAACCACCATTTGTATCCATTGTAGGGATTAATATAGTCATCAGAAGGATTCCGCATCATGGTGAGATGACCATACCCCTTTTCTCTCCATGTAGCTTGACCATGGTACAGATGGCCGCCACAGGACGATACCTTCAAGGCCTGATGGCAATGCCTATGGAGACGAGCTCCTTGGGCCCAACGGTGGGGAAACTCGTGGGTTTTCTGGGACCTGTGAAGATAGAAACATCACCCAAAAACGAAGGTTTTTTTGAACAAATCCTGAGAAACATGCCTTTTTATATGGGAAAATCCATGGAAAATCTGCAGTGCCATAGGATATATATTCAACACATATGGCGGTATGGCTCAAGATTCTTGACACCCATTTCGGGATGTTCCATCAGAGTTAATCTAATCTTATCTTCCTGATATTAAAACCCTTCGAAACAACTTGAAACCTTGGTTTCATACGTGATCCCTTATTGTGAGACTTCACCAACTCAGATTGACATTTGAGAATTCGCATCCAGCCATCGCTGCAGGTTCCCAGACAACTTCTAACTCCTCCGTGCGCCTGCGAGGTGTGCTCGGTGATTTGATAGTTTTGCCGAGGGAAGAAACCCCTGGATTTGGAAAACTAGCCACCCACAAGAAGGACATCTTCTTCTTGTTGGCAAAATTCCATTGGTTTATAATCCTCATTGGTTGCTGGTTTCATCCCCAAACATTGATTTGTTGTTGGAAGGCTCCCCCAGCTACAAGTTGGTCTATAATCTCACCTACCACTATTGACCATAGACGCATCATGATACGTCATGATACATCCACTATAAATCCCACTTACCCTCCGGTAATCAAACTTGGCAATTGAGCATACCCCATTTACAATTGATTTTCTCAGCTATAAACCTCCATTTACTAATTTTGTTCGGGGATTTTCCATTTACCACAGGGTAGCCTTGTGAACTAAACCAAGGTTACCGTACCTGTCGTTTGGAGGCCCCACTCCCTGCTGAGGGAGGCAACTTCTTGATCGATGGCGATGAGATCTTGCAACAGCTGGAAGAAGACCCTGAGACGAGGCCAAGGGAGGAAGATTAGTAGTGATGGGGAAATGATTTAAATGGGGAGATATCTTACAAAAGGTGGAGATACTGGATGTATGTGGCTCAAACCATTTCGAATTTCATTGATCCCTTCCGTGGAAAAAAATATGCCAAAGAACCGATCTCTCTGGCAGTTGATTCTTTAGCCATCCTCAATCAGAAAAACAGCACTCGTCAGATTGATCGAAATTGTCATCTAGAACTTCTCATACTTCGCAGACTTAGACTAGCCACTTGATCATGCCTTTTACTTGTCATGTTTTGCCAGTTCCAGACATTTTTATCTATGCATGCCGGTGCAGTGGCGGGCCCCCAGTAGACAATGGGTTGAAACATGGTTGATGGAGATTTTAAGAATTCCTCTGGTGATAATTTTCGAAACTATCACTCAGTGGTTCTTTCGACTTTGCCGGCTTTCAGAGGACTGTGCCTACAAGCATGCTATCATTTGATTAATCCTAATTGTAGGTGATTAATAGTAATTCTTAATTGATTCTTCGTTTTATATCCCAAGATTGCTGCCATTATGAAAAAAATTCTTAGCATTCCTCACGCATCCCATGCTGATAGCCAATTTTTTTCCATTTGTTTTTTTTCCAGTTGAGCTCAATAGCGGTCTGACCGCTATATCCAATAGAATACATTGCATCCCCGTTAGATTGTCCATTTTCCGATGATTGCATGTTACTTATATTCACATGGAGGGCCTTGGATACCATAAGGGGCATCACTGATCATCAACAGAAGTAGCTCCAACATTGAATGATTTACCGCTAGAGTGGGTCTGAAACAACACTTTTTTTCAATGGAAAAACATGCTGACCCCTTCATGGGTGAAGCATGACCCCAGTGGGTCTCAGATTTAAAACACGAGTCCTTTCCCTTTCCACACCCAATGGCAGACCTGTGCGCGCGTGACGTTTGTGGAGAGCATTTGGGAGGCCCTGCAAGAGAAGGGCGCTTGCAACCTGGGAGGCAGGGAGTTGACGGACAAAAAGGGGTAAAATTTCAGCCGATTTTGGAGGAACATTTGAAACAACCTAATTTGGGTGGGTGGTAAAAAAAACTTCTTGGTAGATGAGATACCACATTTCTTGAACGAATCAACTGATGGAAGGAGCAGTGTAACCGTTGTTGGTGCCATGCCTAGTTTTGGATGGGTGGGCTCATTTCTTTTGGTTGGATTAATCCAACTTTTTGCTGGTTATTAGTTAAGTTATATTAAGTTATTATCATACTTAACTATCTCCAATTCTTCTTGGTTCGCCTCCAGGTATTGTCAGCTTACTCCCCATTTTTGTCGCTTGATCACTTAGACCTTTTCTTTTTTAGTTTCTAAATCATGTTTTGCTAATGAACATCGCAGTATCGTGATTTTTCTCAGTTCAATGCCACATGTTTGGATACTTTAGATACAGCAGATACAATAGATAGATTGGTTGATCCCCATTATTGCCATCAACAAATCCCGTCCAGTTGATCAATAAATCCATCAAAACCATGTAAAGCCCATACTTTCCTGGGAAACTAAATATTGCTGTACAACATCATCCATTTATACATGATTTACCATGATTTACCTATGAAAACTTCACGTTTTTCACGCGCGGCAGGCGGCATGGGCCTTGCCGCAGCGCCTCGCAGCTGGCGGCGGGCATCGCGAAGGAGATCCTGTGGCAGCTGGGGATGGAGATGATTCAAGCAGCAAATTTGGGATGATATATCATTAGTGGGAAACTATGGGGTAATTCTTTCTGGTCTAAGTACAAGTTAATTAATACTTGTTTATTAGAAGGATATATTATACACACAAACACACACATACATATATAAATATATATATTTATACATGTACAAAAGGGATATGACTCACCTAGTAGTTATGGAGGTCTTGTTCGATTTAAGAATCAAACACACGGACACGCGACCTCTTGACGGGGATGATGTGGATTCGCCACACAACAATGGGGATCAAGCACGTTGTATGCTGCCATTTGGGGCTCAATTTTCCAAGCACCCCAGGCGTCGCTCAAAAGCTGTTGGCCTGGGAACCTGAATCGTACCACGCCACGGCAAGAACTGACGGAATCACTTGAGGAATCATTTGCTGCCAAACACAAGCGCTCGACCCGCCAACACATGGTGCAAACCATGCAGACTGGGGGTCCAAGCTCAGCAAAGATTGAACTTGTTGATGGTGCGGATGCCAAGAAGGAGAAACGTGCTGAGCAGGAAGTCAAGTTTGAAAGCCAAAATAAGGAGAAGATGAAGATGGATAATCTTTGGCTGCAGGTGAAGGGCGAGATCAAGGAAGAGATAGAACAAGAGGAACAACAAGAACAAACCTGTAAGTCCTCAAGTTTGGATGATCTTACCCGCAAGGAGATCATGATGAAAGAAGAGATGGAAGAAGATCCCAAGCACGATGAAGCTTTTGAAATTTTAGAAAGCCAGTCCGACCACTCTGAAGTTACAACGCAGAAGAGAGAAACTGAGAAGAGCAACAAGGCTGTGAATAGTCAAACTGCAGCTGAGCCAGAGCCCAAGCTGGTTGCCAAGCGCCGGCGCCTGCCCCGGCCAGATATGCAGCAAACCATGCAAACCGGGGGTCCAAGCTCAGTAAAGATAGAACTTGCTGATGGTGTGAAGGTCAAGAAGGAGAAACATGCTGAGCAGGAAATCGGTTTTCAAAGACAAGATAAAGAGAAGATGGAGCTGGATGATCTTTGGCTCACGGTTCACAAGAAAGTCAAGCTGCCATTTGCAGCTGCAAACTCCGCAGCAGGACATGATCCAAAACCACCGGAAAGCGAGTCAGGCACTAGCCAAGTGCAGACATCTACACAGCAACAGCTGGAACCAAGTGCATCGAAAGCAGACGAGGACTGTTTTTGGGTATGACAAATGCGTTTGGACTGCTCTGGTAGAATCAGCATCCAAAATGTAATTGAAATGTTTGGCGTTGCATACTTTCTTTGACACAAGCATAGCAGTACTGATGCAAAGGGAGACAGCTGTAGCGTTTCATGTTTTCTTCCCTGCAGTTTGCCTTTCTCAAATCAACTACACATTTCTGCCCAGGATTCGGCCAATCCCGAAGAGAGCTCCTTGGATGCATTCGCTTCCCACGCAGCGACCTGGGCGAAGCAGTGCCTGGCTTTTCGGAGTTCCAAGACTTGGAGTCCCACCAGGCCGTGTTGTC